CATGAGATTTATTTTAATGTTCTGAAGTTTTGGGAAATAATGCTGTAATGATGAATTTCAATATTTCTGCCTGGAATATTGATCTCCTTATGGACTTGCTGAAAGACCTGAGATCTAAAATGGGCTGCATGCCATTGTTTCTGTGTACCACAAAGAATCTTGTGTCCCTTCCAAAATATCTCTCCTGCCACTGAACTGGTTCTATCATTTCAGTGCGTAAGAGATGGACTATTGTGCCCTTCATCTTCTGATGCTATGAAGGGACTTTGCTGGTTTCTTTTAATATACTTTGTGGAAAGGATAAACTTGTTCCTGGGATAAGGAGAGAGTTCTACTGACTATTCTTCCCTGATGTTCTCAAGCACTCATTTTCTGAGCAGGTTCACCCCCATATGAGGGCCCACAGAGAGAGAAAAATCTCTTGGAACACCCAAAACCAAATGTTTGGGGTTGGATGGTTTTCCAGAGAATCCCAGCCTGATTCTTCCAACTCTTAGGATAGATAGCAATGACCTCTTCCTGCTGTATAATCTCTATGCTGGAACTTGGAGGGGCAATGGCTTCAAAGGGAACACTGGCTGAGATAAGGGAGCTTGAATAGCCTCCCACTGGAAGGAGGGAGGGATTAGTCCCTGGCATACAGCCTCAGTGATGCCTTTGTCTCTGTGCTCCCTAAAGAGTGCATCAACAAAATATTGGGAAGGACACCAGATGTTATCTCGCAGCTCCAGTTTCTTCAATTGGAGTCATACTTGCCCCCAGGACCTGTCTTTGGAAATTTTGAATGTACAGCAAATCAGAGTCAGGTGAAGCATCAGGCCTGAAAAAGCTACATGGGAAATGTAGTTTAAATTGATTTAAGGAGGTCTTGGGGTGTATGTGTGTGTGGGCACATGCTCACAAGGGCATCCCAGGAGTGTGTAGACCTGCGCAATAAGAGGCTGCAGCCAATACTCCCCAGGCTGCGGCTGCTGTATCCAATTTTAGTCTGAGTGAAGATCATATTGTCCTGTCTATAGGTCCTGTCTCCCTCAGTTGGTATGACTATACACTTCACTATAGAGGCCACAGCAGCCTTAAGCTTAGGCAGAGTAAGGAAGACCTTTTTTGTTCTTAGGTATAAGTAGGTCTTGCTAAGGAATTCCCAGTCCAACTTCATCACAACCTCAAAGCAGGTGAGGAAGGATTACACAGTTCTTCAGCTTTGCCTGTTTCTTTGGTTTTAGTGTTTTATTTTCTAAAAACATAAACATTTGTGAAGCTAGAGCCCCCAATCATGCTTAACTCTGCAAAGCTTAGTTGAGAGTCTGAGGTATCTCATTCAAAGCCTCAGCCTTAGCGATTTCCTCCTTTCCTTTAGAGTGGGAATCTCTCCTGAGAGGTTTTAAGACTTTGCACTGCCCCTTTAAGAGCTGGTTGTGACCAATATCCTTCACCAGTCCCTGGGCCAAACACCTGAGAGCAGGGATCCTGTGCGGGGGTCAGTGCATTACCAAGCATCCTGGAAGGACAGTCTGCAGCATGAATCCTGCATGCCTCCCTAAGGAAAGCAGCAGCCACTTCATGACATCCCGTGGGACACCTAGAGGCTGGTCCATCTCTCGGAGAGCAGGATCTGAATTTCTTCACCCGCGCACTCCCTGCTGCTGTGTCTGGGCTAAGTGGGGACCAATCGCACCTAATGAAGAGTGAGCTGGAGCCACTGGAGACAAATTGCCCATTGGTATCTGAGAATTCACAGGAGTTGGAATGTTTCATGGCTTGCTTTGAAAGCTGTGGGAATAGGGATCCCATGTCTGGGGGAGGGGAGAAGGTTTGAAGAAAAAAACCTTGCCCCATACTCCATGACACTGGTTCTGGCCTGGTCTCAGTGGAGAGAATTTCCATGTGACCTGCTCAATGATCTCAGTCTGGACCTTGCCCCCATGCTAGCTGGGAGCTGGGTTCCTGCAGGCTGCTCGACTGCCTGCCTGCCTTTACTGAGGGCAGAAAGCCAAAAGAATTTGAGTTTAGCAGCTTTGAGGAGAACATCCTTGAGGGCAATGAAGAAATCAAGATACAGAGAAAAATCTTTCACAAATCTTATGCCAGGTCCGCTCCAGAGGGAGTCCTGGATTCTACCATATGTGCCACTTGGAAGCAAAGCAGTCTGGGGAGTTCTCCCTGAGAGCCAGTCTGAAACCATGGCTCAGAGCAAAGATCTGAGTCATCACAGAGACGGTGAACACCCCACTGTGGAGACTTTCTGATGTGGAAGAGACTGAAAAACAGTTTGTAAGACAGCTATGAAACTCCTCAGCCTCTCGCATGTAATTCAGCTTCTGATGAGCACTTCCTTTGTCTCACTGTATGGACTATGTTGAGTAAGGGATGTCACATACCTGTGTCAGCCCAGGAGGAGCTGCAGAAAGGAAGTGTGACTCAGGACACGCCTCTGAGTTAGAATCCTTCTGCAGCTCCTGCTTTGTGCAGGAGGTAGAATATGCTGTGTTGGATGATTACCAGCATCGCATTCACAGCCCTTCACAACTAGCCACTCTACTGCCTAGTATGGGGTGTGTATGAGAGAGGGCAGCACTGTCCTGGATCCACCCACTCCCTGCCTGCTTGGGCTCACAGACCCAGTGCTCCCTTCCCAGACAGCTGTGCAAGGGGTTAGGGTTGGGGCTTTACATCCCTTCACTCCCCCACACAATCACAATCTTGCCCCGTGTCAGTAAGCTGGCAAGCCAGCCCTGTCCTGAGTTGTTAACGTCCTTTTTAGAAATGTTTACATTGAGAAGATACTATTAGAATTTTCATATGTTGTATTGTGCTTAAGTAAATAATAATCCCTTTATAGCAACATTCATCTGAGGATTTTAAAGTGCTTTGTATTTGTTAACCTTTATAAGAGCCCTTATTACATTCAGTTTACAGAGTGGGAAACGGAGGCACGGTGAAGTGACTTGACTGAGGCCACATGTTGAATCAGTGGCAGAACTGGCAACAGAACCCCACCATCCTCTCTCCTCCACTGCCCTAACCACAAGCGCATATTCCCGCCTATAATGCTAAGCATGAGGAAAGCAAACATCAGCCTCACCGTTCCCTGCTTAGATTGTTGCCTGCCTTATTTCCCCCTTTTCTTCCGGTCTCTCCCACTCTTGCCTGGTGGTGTAGCGGTTAAGCCTGTTTGCTCTGCAGAAGGGGATGTGTATGTGCATGTGTGCTTCTACCTGGGTGTGGATACTCTGCTCTGCCTCTGTGAAGCCTCCCCTTCCTGGCATACCTGCAAGCTGCACCCTGTTACTGTGTAGCACACACACCATGGGCATATCTATGCTGGAGATGTAATTTTTAGCTCAGGCAGATTAGCTCAATCAAAGCTAGCATGAGTATGAGTGCTGAAAAGAGCAGTGTAGCTCTGGCTGCATGGGCAGTGGGACAGGCTAGCTACCCTGAGTACAATCCCATCTGAAACCTACTCCCTCCTTCTGGGTGTGGGTCTCTGCTCCTTCCACTGACATGATCTGGGCACCTGATGGCCTTTAGAGCTGTGGCGGTGACAGGTGAATTCAGCAAGGTGCTATGACTGGGAATTCCATGAATTGAAACCAGCTCTCAGTTGAAACTGAGAGATGCTGCCAGTCAACTGGGAATTTTTAGAAGCTACTCGTAGCAACTGTTAGCTCTTCTCTAGCACTTCATCCACAGATTGTAGGGCGGCAAATCTCATGAACCTGATTTTACAGATGAGGAAATTGAGGCACAAAGAGGTGAACTGACCTGCAGTGAAACCATGGCAGCGTGGGCGGCAGCATGGGTTAGCTGCTTGAGTGCATACCCTGGGGCCCGGGTTGGTTTGCACAGTTTGTGCTGCCACCCAGGCTGTTGCGGCTTCATTGCTCTTGCTATCTGAGCTAGCTAGATCAACGCTAGCTTGGGTATGTCTACATGTGCCTCAGTCTCACCTGTGATTGCAGTGCAGACATACCCTTCCTCCCTGTTCAGCATCCTACCCACTGGGCCATTGAGCACAAGTCCTGCTTTGCTTTACTCTGAATCTCCCTGTTTCCCTAGCCAATGGATCTAACATCAAAGGTTATTCTGTGCTGCTGCTACTCTAAAACAATCAACAAGTCAATTACAGTGAGGTCAGAAGGGAGAGAAATAAGCTACTCCTTATTCTCGTGCACATTTGGGTAGGTAATGCTACCATCTAGTGGAAAGCAGGAAGAACCTCAAGTGTGTATGCGATACAGATATCCAGTAGATGAACTGCTGGAAGTATAACCTCTCTGATGCTGGAAGTATATACAGCCAAGGGGGAGATTTTTAGAAGTACTAAGGGCAGCAAAGAGCCTAATTCCCATTGAAAGTCAATGGGATTTGGGCACCTAACTCCCATTTTTGCCTCTGAAAATCTTTATTCATAATATTGTGCTTTATCTCTGTATGCAAAACAGCGGAGTTCACACCATTTTGTCATGTTATAACATGGAAACCTCTCTAATATTTGCTATTAAAGTGGCGTCATTAGTTGTTCTGTGTTCAGGGATTAGCTAACGCCCGCAGACTTTCCTAGTCATTAGTTATAGTATTGATTGACAGTTCACTTAGGCAGTCACTTGTGAAGACACTGCAATAGGTTATCTTAATGGTTACCTAGGGCTATACAAGGAGACCTGCCTGCTTTTGGCTTCAGACCAAGAGCTAACTTCAGACCACTTTTCAAGTCAAATAGGTCCAATCTCAACCTGCTTATGGTTTTTGCTTCAGAAACATGGGAAATTCCTGTATCCACATGTTTTTTGCAGTGAAACCTGTCGAAACCCTATGGGTTCAATTGAGCTTCTCCTTGAGATCTTACTCAGTCTATCTTGGGGAACGTAAAACCACATGGATCCAAACTGAAAAACATGTCTGCATATTCCCTTGCAAAGGGAAAACCATAGATTTTGTACAAGCCCAGTGGAGTTCAAGCAACCTTCACACTGGTCTGGACTGCCCCATCTCACCTGTGGATGAAGTGGTTCTCCTCCAGATATTTGCAGCCACAAGCAATGTCCCTGGCTATGTTCAGCAGGTCCTGCATTATCAGAGTGGATGGCTGATTCTGGATAAGAGACAGATGCACCCAGGTGAGAAGAGGAGAAAGGTGGTGGGATGGGGGAGAGAGTATAGGAAAAATAGAATAGTTGGAGAGATAGGAAGGAGAGAGAGAGATACAGAAGAGTGAGGGGAGGAAATGAAGAGGAAGGGAGATGGGTCAAAGGAGAGAAGAGATTTCTATTTAAGGTTAAAGTTTGCCAGACACAGGAAGTGAGTCTATTAGATTCCCCCTGAGAGAGAGAGAGAGAGAGAGTGTGTGTGTGTGTGTGTGTGTTGTTTTGGCCCAGTCCAAATAAAATGGCCAACACGTCTATCAAAGGTGTGAAGCGAGAACTGCCCCCTGTAGTGAGCAGTGTGAAAATAAGCACAAAGGAGCTTTAAAAATTGGGAGAAGGGAGAAGTGGGCTGCTAAAGAATGACTCTGGGGATAGTAACGGGTCACACAGCAAAAATTAGTGAGGTTAACAGGGTGTCACTAGTCACCACCAGAACACCTCCTTCTGGCCACATCTGGGGATTAGCTCTCCCAGACCAATGTCCCTCCTGTGGTTGCTCACTCCATCACTCTCCCTGTCTCACTTGCATGGGACTCGGCTGCTCCCACTTCATGGCTTGGCCCTCCGGCCAGGTCACTGTAGTCCTCCCTTTCCAGGACATCAAAGTTTCTTGGGACCCACTGTCCCAGGCAGTCCTTCCTCTCACTACGCCTTAACAGCACCACTGCCCAGTGGCTGGTAGGGAAACCCAGGCCTCCCTACACTGGGTTCCAGCCTAGGGACTCTACAACAAACAGTCAAGGGCTGCACAGTCCTGAACCTTACTGCTGTATCCCTGGGCTACTTCCTACCTTGCCCTCCTAACTAGGGTGACCAGATGTCACGATTTTATAGGGACAGTCCTGATTTTTGGGTCTTTTTCTTATATAGGCTCCTATTACCCCCCACCTCCTGTCCCGATTTTTCACATTTGCTGTCTGGTCACCCTACTCCGAACACTGACTGTAATCCCCCTTCTTTCAGCTACTGGGCTTTATACAGCCCCCTCCCATTCCTCTCCAGCTGAGCCTCATCTCTAATTAGTTCTTGTTCCTTGGCTGCTACTCCTAGATATAGCCTAGGTGGTTAATAGGCCCACCTGGCCACCTTAGGCCTTGTGTGGGGTAGATATCCCATCACAGTGGGACTCACTGAGAAGAGCACAGACCCAAGGTGTTTCCATCAGTCTGTGCACTAGAGAGCCAGGGAGAGCTACAGCATCCTACATACAGAGTCCCCTTTGTGTTTATTATTCCTGAGTCCTACCTCTCTCCCATCACAAGGGATGTTACAGGACTGGAGGTCATTAGGGTTTGGTGCTGGCACAGAGTAGTGCAGTCACTCATCTTTGCTCTCTCACATGCGCTCACTCTCTCTCGTTCCATTCAAAATCCTGGATGGATGTGTTTTTTTTTAAAAAAAACCTCACTAATTTTTGCTGTGTGACCCATTAGCATCCCCAGAGTCATTCTTTAGAAGCTGACTTCTCCCTTCTCCCACTTTTTAAAGCTCCTTTGTGCTTATTCTTATACTGCTCGCCACAGTGGGCAGTTCTCACTTCACACCTTCGATAGAAGTGTTGGCCATTTTATTTAGACTGTGCCAAAACTCCCCCTTCCCCACCCCGCCGCTCACCTGTGCCACCCACTTATTCTCTAGCAATCATTTCTTCCACTGCAGGGAAAGTTCCTTGATGTATCTCCAGGAAAGTTGTTATGACAAGTGCTTTTCCAGTGCTCTGGGGCAAGGTGGGGAGAAATTACTACCAAGCTCAGTGAAGCTCCTGGAAATGTCAAGTCAAATTGCTCTTTTTTCTCCTGTTGTTTCTGGATGCTGTTATCTTGTTCATTTCACAGCCTGGAACCATGTAATTAGTACTCCGGCTGTTGGTAGCTGGTGTTTAATCAGTTAGATGGGTCGTGTCTTTATTGTACAGAATGCTTGGACATTTGCCATTGAAGGTTAGAGTTATAAACAAGTACCTTATAAAGGTGAAAGTGAAGGAGTAAATAAGACAGACAGGCAGGCAGAGATCAGCATGTTTTGGGATACCTTTGTCAGGAGGCCAATGGAGTTTCATTTTTACTGTGGCAATCTACCCATGGCAAGATCGAGAACTGACTAAATTTTTTAGGCATACTTCTTTGAATTTGGAAGTGCTGTTTTGGTTCAACTAAATTCTTGCCCCTTTTTATTTGTTGCTAACAAACATTCTTGATAACAGGTTTGTTTTCACACAAATATTTAGGGAATGACTGTTCTTCACACTACTACTGGTATTCGCTGTGTGCAAATGAGAACATTCGCTCTTCGCTGTTGTTTAATCACTATTCATTGTTCCATAGGCCTGGTCTCCTCACAAAAGTTGTACTACTTTCACTATACTGACATAGTCAAAGCCCTACAACCTCCTTGGTTTGGAAGTGGTTGAATGTACTTATACCAGTATAATTTATTCTAGTATGAGAAGGGGAATAAACAATACCTGTATTATGCAGTGTAACTGTAGCTGTGTTGGGCCCAGGATATTAGAGAGACAAGGTGGATGAGGTAATATCTTTTATTAGACCAACTTCTGTTGGTGAGTGACACAAGCTTTCGAGCTGACCTGGAGAAGAGCTCTGTGTGTCTTGAAAGCTTGTCTCTCTCACCAACAGAAGTTGGTCCAATAAAAGATATTACCTCATCCACCTTGTCTCTACACCTATATAAGACACCTTTATACTGCTATAATTGTGTCCATACTACGGGTTGTAGCTAATTGATACAGCTACACCAGTACAAAAAAATGGTTGTAGAGCAGGTCTTATTCTCCTGTTCAGAAAATTTCACTCATCCACTCAGGGAACAGAAGCAATATCATGTGAGTTACATGACCAGTAATACACTCTGAATAACCAATAGCAAATAGGTGAAATTAGCAGTTTGTGAACAGCCAATACGTTGAAAACTGCTCATCCAAATTATTCCTGGAGCCTTTTGCCCATAACAAGTACATCATGAATCAATGCTGATTTCCACAGAACAACCCACAAGCAGAAAACCCAGGGCTAATTCCAGGTTGTTATTTATTTGCATTGGCTACTTCATTTAGCACTAATGGTACATGTAGGGCCAGGTCCTCAGCTGGTGTAAATCGAAATAGCTCCACTGAAGTCAATGCAGTGATGTCAATTTACGCCAGCTGAAGAGCTGCTCCAACATCTGCCCGTTAACGAGGGTCCTTGCTGTAAATTCAGCTCTTCACTTGACACAGCAGTATGATGAAGGCTGAGGGAACATTCTCAAGTGCTGTTGTCCAGCTGACCCTGGCAGAGAACAGGGGAGGCGACAGGAAAACATCCTTTATTCTGTGTCCTCCTTGATTGCTAATAAGCTGGATCCTTTGAAATATGTGATCAAGAATCATTTTCTATTATTGGCATCTGCTCAAGTCAAGGGAAGGGTGGAAAATGTCCAGAGGTTTGTAGGAGTTGGGAATCAGAGATCAGCCCTATTAAAATGCCATAATGAAAACAGACACAAGTGGAAAGGGGAAGATGGTCTCACCACCCGGGGTCGATTCTGCCGAAGGAAGCTCTTCATATCTCCACCAGCCATGAGCTCCAGCAGAATGAAGCGAGGCAGTGTCTGAAGGCTCACACCAATGCACCGCACAATGTTCTGGTGACTGAACTTACTGTGAATCAACCACCACAGCAACATGGAAAGGAGAAGACAAAATCAAAGAGGGGATAAAACCTTTTACCCAACTCCCCCCTGAACTTTGGTGATTCAGATGAAATACAACCTGGTTCTGAAACACACTGTCAAAGCAAATCCTGACGTCAGCTAAATCAAAGCATGGTGCCCTCAGCCCAGCTCTACTTACAAGGAACCCAAAGAGATTCTGCTTGGCCTTGCCTTAATCGAACTTCCTCAGAAAGTGGGAGAAAACTGGCAAAAGCTACCAAATACAGCAGCACCTTCTCTCTGCCCACGCCTGCCGTGATTCTCTAATGCAGAGAAGATTCATGGATTTAGCTGTGACGGGGTCATGGGAGAAAGGAAACGTGATATCTTAAAGTCCAAAATATTACAGCTATTTGAAATGAAATGTTATCATGTGGGGATTTGGTTTTTTTCATTGTTTGTTAAATAAATTTCTGTGTAGCTGGGGGATCTCAGTTCAGGGTCCAGTCTGCCAAAAACAGGGCCAGTTCGTGCCAATTGGTTTTGTAATTTTTTCTGTCCCCAAGGAACTGGGTTGAGACAATCAACTCGTTTAACATACGCTGCCAAACTATCATCAGAAGGTTGTGACTTCTGATCACTACCAACCTGGGTTAGGAATTGAGGACTTTGGCAGGGGTGGAGGGACAGAGAGGGAAGACCCTACTACATAAATCAAAACATTATGAAATGATCTCGTGGGTTGCTTTTAAAAAACATGTATCAGCACTGCCGCCTCTTGCCTTGCCAATCAGAATTCCAACCGTCGGCGGGAGATGAACTGATGTCAATAGTTCAATCCCAGCAGCATGTCCTAGCTGTGAGATGAAGTCATCCACATACAAACACCTACAGGAATGCTTTTATTCCAAACATTCAAGAAGGGGCAGAGCCATAAAAATAAGTAACTCCCAGCAATACATTTCATGATGTCTTTCAGACACTTTTTTTTTGGTCTAAAAGCTTGCAAGAAATTATAATAGGTGTGGCTCTTTCTGGATTTTTCTGGTGATTGCTTTGCCAGGCAAGATCTGGGCAATGCCACGGTAAGTGAGAGCCACCGCCCAAGTAAAGCAGCTGTGTGCTATGAAAGAGATTAGTTCTTCCAGATCATCTCCCTCTTTTCAAACTTCCTTTGTGAGCTTAATGGAGTCGCATAAACCCCAGGTTTGAAATACCTAGAGTGCATGGAATTACCAGGATGGCTCAGCCCTCTAGCTTTCCTAGGCAGATAAATTATACACCACCTAGCTCACTATGAGAAGGTCTTTGAGATCCAGCCTTATAAATTATTGTCTGATCTACCCTGCACAGACATCAAAAGACAGATTGTGCCTGAGTAGCCCTGGCCCGCACTGAGGGAGGTGATGAGCTGCACAACACCTCCTAGAGCTCCCCAGCACACCCTGGTTCCCTGTTCACGACTTCACCCCTCAAGGGGGTTCAGAGTGCTCCACTCTGCTGCAAGGTGCAGAGGAGGGGCAGAGACATGGGGCCTTTGGGGTTACTAGTGCTGCAGAAGGCATTTGGAGGGAGAAGTCCCTGTGGTTAGGGGAGCACAGGAGCTACAGTTGTGATTGGCTACTGCTTGAAGGGCATAAAGGGGAAGCTTCATGCACCATCTCCTTGTGCAGCCATTCATGCAAGAGACATGTCTAGGGCTGTTCCTAAACACCCTGTAGCATTTTTAATAAGAGAAGGGTTTGCCCCAATGTCCTGGGCTGAAAAATCCCTCCTTGGCATGCAGCATGTTGTGTGCCGCCTGACTGCTGCTCTCCACCCCATTGGTGGCTGAATTTCAGTAGGGTTGCATGGCTATAGGGCCAAACCCTGTAGTTCACATATTACACCATTTTCCATTCAATCAAAGGGAGTTTCCTTACACAAGGACTGCAGGACGTGAGTCCTACATGGCCAAGGGCCCTGAGATTTCCTGAGATGAAAGGTACAATATACATGTAACACCATTAAAAGAATTTAGTGCTTATTTCCCAAACAACCACGGGCGAAGTTACTTTCGGCGTTGCTGAAATAACCAGTAAGGGTCTCATGTACAAGGTGGACACATGTCCATTAGAAACTGGGCTGTCACTAACTCATAGGCCGCCAAACAGCCATTGGCTGTAGCAATTTGTAGTTAATATCAAGCAGGGCTGGATTGGAACCAGTGACTTAAATGTGAAAGTCTTGCCATCCTGTTATTAATCTCCTGAGTCAGTGAGTTAATTTCCTGGTTAGAAATGTACCTGATTATCAGCGCTTCCATCAGAAAATCCATCTCGTCCTGCTCAGAACAGATTTCTGGCAATGTCTGTTGAGAGGGAACGAAAAGGGAGAAGCACCCAGAAGAAACAAAGATATTTAAGAGAAGTATAAAAAAGCCAGTGAAGACACAATATGATTATGTGGTAGCTATGATATGAGTCTCTCTCTCTCATCTTCCAATCCCCTACTCATTGGGTCGTATACGACTCAAGAGGTGGGAAAGAAACGAGAGCCGACTGAACTACGCCAAGAATATTCTTGTGTGTGCATTTAACTACATGCAGTGCTTTTGTTTAGTTCATTTAAAATAGTGGTTCTTAACCTGGGGTGCATGCACCCCTTGGGGGTGCGAAATGCCCTTTCTGGGGGTGCGAGACATGCAAGATATTTTTAGAAGGTAAATAATCGAAAACACAAATTAAGCACAAACACATAAGTACAACTACTTTGTTTCATCAAACCTATGTATTTATTAACATTATACATTTTTTAACGATTATTGTAATATACAAACAAAAATATATCTCTAGGTTTAAGGGGTGTGAGAACATATTCTTAAGGTTTAAGGGGTGTGAGAACATATTTTGATTTTTGATAAGGGGTGCGAGAACATATTTTGAGAACCAAAGGGGTGCAGGCTGCAGTAAAGGTTAAGAACCACTGATTTAAAACAATGTGTACTAATGGCATTGACAGATACAAACTGCAGGTGCAGGTCTGAGCAGGATGGAGTGGCCACCGCTGTAGAGGATGATATGGCTGCAGCTATCTGTGTGCAGACTGAGGGGACTGGCTGTCCGCTACTGACTGCAGGCTGGGCTGTGAGGGAGAACATGGCTACTGCCATTTGCAGTGTGGGCTTTGGAGGATGGGGTGGCATTTTGCTAAATGAAATAGACCATCCCTTGGGCCATCTACTACAATGGTGCGTGCACCATTTACAAAAGGAGTACGTTCAATGTCTTTTTTAAAGCTCTCTGTTCTACATCCACCCGCTCTGTCAAAGCCCAATTCTGCAAAAGAAGGGACTGATGATACAGCCAGACCATGATGAACCCAGCTTCTGTGTGATGATTGCCCAATCTGGGCACCGTGAAGTGATTCGTGTACGCTCAGCCCGTATGACCTTAAATAACACTCCCTCTCTCATCTACCATGTGGACATTGTATCATCTTCCAGAAGGAAGTACAGCAGATTCTCAGCAGTTTCATTTGCTGGGGGCTATGTGAATACCTGGGAAGATTGCAGACAGGGCACTAACAGGGAGCAGTGCTTGCTCACTTACACAGAAGCTGGCCACAGTCTGGCCCTGGATCATTAAAACGGAAGCAATAAATAGCTTCTGAATGTACTTTTTCTCTATTTTACTTTTGCAAGTCACTCAGGACTAGACTAGACAGTTTCACTTGCAGTGTTTAGTCAGTTTCAGTTCTGGGTTCTCACACTCACTCAGGGTATGTCTACCCTGCAGTTAGACACCCACAGCTGGCCCATGCAAGCTGACTTGGGCTGGGACTGCTGGGCTGCTGTGTAGACATTTCAGCTCAAGCTGCAGTGTGAGTTCTGGGACCCTCTCATCTCACAGGGTCCTAGCGCATGGGCTCCAGCCAGAGCCTGGACATCTACACTGCAATTAAACAGCCCCGCAGCCCAAGTCCCATTAGCCTGACTCAATTGGCACTAGCCAGCCATGGGTTTTTAATTGCTGCCTAGACATAGCCGTGTCTTTACAGCACCGTTAGCTCGAGTTATAACTCGAGTGGTAACCCTAACTCAACTCACATTCACATTCTGTTAGCTTTTTTGATACCGCTGCACATTGAACAAATGTTTTCAGAGAACTATCTACAGTGACTCCAAGATCTCTTTCTTGAGTGGTAACAGCTAATTTAGACCCCATCATTTTATATGGATAGTTCGGATACCAATGTGCATACTTTGCATTTATCAACATTGAATTTCATCTGCCATTTTGTTGCCTGGTCACTCAGTTTTGTGAGATCCTTTTGTAACTCTTCGCTGTCTTGTGTTGGACTTCATTATCTTGAGTAATTTTGTTTCATTTGCAAATTTTGCCACCTCACAGTTTACCCATTTTTCTGGATCATTTATGAATATGTTGAAGAGCACTGGTCCCAGTATAGATTCCTGGGGGACACCACTATTTACCTCTCTCCATTCCAAAAATTGACCATTTATTTCTACCCTTTGTTTCCTGTCTTTCCAGTTATTGATCCATGAGAGGATCTTCCCTCTGAGCCCATGACTGCTTACTTTGCTTAAGAGCCTTGGATGAAGGACCTTGTCAAAGGCTTTCTGAAAGTTTAAGTATACTATATCCACTGGCTCACGCTTGACCACATGTTTGTTGGACTGCCTCAAAGAATTCTAGTAGATTGGTGAGGCATGATTTCCCTTTAAAAAAGCCATGTTGACTCTTCTCCCAAAAGTCGTGTTCTTCTAGGTGTCTGATAATTCTGTTCTTTCCTATAGTTTCAACCAGTTTGCCCGGTACTGAAGTAGGCTTACCAGCCTGTAATTGCCAGGATCGCCTCTGGAGCCTTTTTTAAAAAGGAGGTGTCTGGAGTTTCAGTCACAAAGCCTGGAGTATCAGTAATGGCTGGAATTGCTGGAATAGTGCCTATGGGTACGTCTACACTTGGAGCTGGGAGTGTGATTCTCATCTCAAGGAGACATACCTGTGCTAGCTCTCATCAATCTAGCGTCCTAACAATAGAGTGCAGCTGTGGCAGTGTGAGCTGTGGGACAGGCTAGCCTCCCTGAGTACACACCTAGGGACTCTGAGGCCACCTACATAGGGCGCACTGCCACAACTGCACTCTATTTTAGCATGCTAGCTTGATGAGAGCTAGCACGGGTATGGTCTCCTCGACCTGGGAATCACACCCCCAGCTCCAAGTGTAGATGAACCCTAAAGGTGACTATTACTTTACTGAAAGGCTCTCATCAAACACCATAAGAGCGGGTCAAACTCTCTGCTGGTATCAAATAGCAGAGCTCCCTCACTTCAGTGGAGCTGCGCCGATTGACGCTAGCAGAGGATTTAGCACTTTGTTTTAATTTTAGCTAATATATTTTATATGGATGGGTGACAGATTCATACAGCCTCCTCTTAGATGTAGTAGGAGCTCTCTCCCTGGTATTGGCAGCAGAGGCTGAGGGACACACTCTTCTCTTCAGGTTCTGTCGTGTAGAGGCCTTTGACTCAATGGGCCCAATTATTCCATTTAAATTAACATAACAGTTCCCACCCCCATTAGACCATCAGGTATAGCCACTATAACATCATGCTGCAAACAAGAACTGTTTATTTGTAATCTGCTGCTATTGCTACCTGGCTTAAAAATCAAAACAATGGGAAGCTCATAACTCCCACGTGTGACATTAGCAGCATGTGTAACACTGTTAACGACGCAGTATATGATAATTGTAACAATCCATTTCTATCTGGAACCTTTATATGGTAATATCACTCTCATGGGTATTCGCTACCGTACAGGAAAGATTAGGCCATTAGCTGTAAGTACTGACCTTGATAGCCACTTGAAGAGGGTTGGGATCCCCTGCGATTCCTACCACAGTCCCCTCATAAACCTCACCAAATGCACCATGCCCTAGGGCCCTGAAGGGAAGAGAAAAAGCAGGTATTACTGTGTCAAGTTCAGGAATAGTTTTGGACCTGTTCTCGTAACGAATCCAGGGCAAAGCAATCAGTCCCAGACATGGTCTAGTGTCAAAACATCCAGAATCACCTCTGGACCCATTCTGGTGCTGTAGTGTTGGACCTTCAGTGGTACTGAAAACACAGGTGTCTACTGCATGCTGACAAAGTAACCGCCTGAATCTATACTGGCACCAGCACCCTAGGATTTGGTGACAGATTTATCTGTATAAGAAGATTCAAGGAATGTCACTCGGTGCGTGACTCTGAAGCCTAGAAGGTCTATTGAGTCAGTGTGAAGCGATGGAAGCAGCTACAAGCATGGTTTAGGGGTCTCTGTTCAGAATATCACCAGGTTGAATCATCACTGAGATTCACAGTCCGTTACCATCCAATTTTTAAGTTCTCAGCCATTTTCACCTTTTTTACACGTGACTCCATGAATTACACCTGGGCAACAGCATGGGCTTTCAGCTACTAGCAGTGATATTAAGGCTACTGTGAGTCAGGGGGTCAGAGAGAGAAGGCTGTGGGCTGATATCTGAAAGCAGTGAAGTAGCAGAATAAATATAGGCAGTCAAATTTTGCCCATACTCCCTATGCCCTCTTAACTGATATCAGCTGGATTGCAGGGGTCATGAGAGTAGCCCAGGGTGGCTCTCCCTGTTCTGATGCAGAAAAGGAAACATTGCTATGGACCTGGAAGGGATTTGTTGGGAGCCAGGCAGCCCCAGTAACCCAGGACATCCCAAAAGTGTAAGGGAGGGAACAGTACAGGGAATCTTCTTGCTTCTACCTGGAAGCCAGTCAGTCAATGGGACATGTGACTCATGAGTTTAAGTTAAACATGTGCTTAAGTCAGGGCCTAATTCTTACAAAGTGGTGTCTTGTAGAACACAAAAGTGAGGCATAGGTGTTATAACAGCTGTCAAGAAAGCCACATTTAGGCTGTACCATGCTGGACTGTGAGCTTTCCACGGTTAGTCAGCCAGCTAGCCCTCAGTCTCTTGTTCTCCATGCTCCATGGCACATTTTATACATTCAAACCAAATAAATATGTGACCCTGCCACCTTTCCCAAAAGCTACAACTCCTCTCCTGAAACAAGGAGCAGGCCCAGCAGCAAGCCTTACCGAAGCAGGGAGATGTTTTTCCGGGGGATCTCCTTCAGCTCGCTCAGCGTGGCAGCCTTCCCTGCAAAGCAGTAGTTGGGGTTGTAATCTGTCATGATGGTGGAAGTGCGGATTTTGCTCAGTTTATATTCTGGGCTCTGCAGTCGTGCTCTGGCTCCTTCCAGCTGCTGCTTCTTACGGTGATAAACTGTGGGAGCACACCACAAAAGAACATAGGGTGAAATGTCAACATGTGGGTAGAGCAGAGGAAACAATGCCAGCAGCACAGAACAATCAACAACACAAAGAGACCAAGTCAGCAGTTATGAATCCAAGTAATATTCTTAAATCCCCAGCATCAACCACATTCTTTCTCTTTGCAGCAACTTCTCCATCTTGAATGGGATACACGAGCATGGAGTATTGACCATATGTAGTCCTGGACCCCAGATGGAGCCTGGGCTCCATCTCCCTTTCTCTGGAGCAACCTCTCCTGAACCAACAAGCAAGAGGACTTGCTGTAACTCAACCAAGACAACAAAGCAAGTGGCCAATCCGATTGAGACCATGCCATGCCATGCCCTTGAGTGAGTTCTATATTTAACCAGTGGTCATGACAGCAGTCTATGGATTAGTGGCTGCTTAGTGATCTAGTGGTCTTTCTAAGTGGTTTTCTCCCCAGAAGGAGCAAGGCCAGAGCAGTCCCTGCTCATGGGGCTACTATTGTGCCCAGCCCTTACATGGGGACAGGCAAGCAGTGATGTTTCTTGCTGGCTCCCCATGACTTGACTTACGCAAGGGTAGAACACAATCTGGCCCCAATTATTAGCAGCAGCAGTAATAATGTGGTCCGCAGGCAGACTCGTCTTCCTCTGGCTTTGGCTGGTAGTCTCCTGGCTGGAGCCCCTCTCAATTCCCTATCAGTACCATGGTTAGCAGAATATAGCTTTAAGATGGGCTCCCTTCTTTCAGTGGAGCCAACTCAGAGGCTGGTAAAAGCCAGGTTGGGGACAGTGGGTTTGAGCAGTGTTGCAATAGCAATGAGAAAATGGACTATTCTGCCAAGCAACCCCGCTTTCAAGGCCTTTACAAAGAAACTTTCAGGGTTGAAGACAGGCGGGTCAACTGAGCAATTCCCGGTGAAGGGGGAAGGCTGACAGGCCTCTGCTCCACTCCAGGGACTTTGCCCTTCTCCTGTGGACCCCAAAAGTCATTGCATCATCATAAAACCCAGAGCTCAGCATGTCAGTGGACACTTGGCCACCATTGCTGCACCAGCGGAGACTCCAACTGGAGACACATGAGATCCTGCTTTGTCTCCCTTTCCCTTGTGTATTCCTTTTTGCCCTGCTATTTTTCCTCCTGTCCTGTCTCTCTAAGCTTTCCATTTGATCCTGAAGTCAACTGTACCACGCAGTATCAGAGACAAGATGGTCCAACCAGCTCTGCCCAGCCTGAGAGAGACTGGTGAAGGAGAAGGGACCAGCCCAGCCTGATGATGTCCCAGACCAGAAGAGGAGCTTGAGCCCAGGGCAAATGGTGTTATGGCCAACCCACCAATCTAGAGTATCTGCCTGGGGCTGACCTGTCACCCAGAATCCTGGCAGCATCAGCAAAAGCTATATTTCTCCCACCTTTATTATCCTATCTCTTCTCCTCCTCAGGGCCATCTATTTGTCAAAAGCAGGACAGGCCACCACCCTTCCCATCTCGGAACAGCAACAGAACTAACCCTTTCCTCCCCATCAAGAAGGGTTGTCTAGTGAAATAAGAGAGACGCTTTTAATAGATTTTGGTCCAGTCTGTTTTACAGAATCATTCAATTTCAAACTGCTTTATAACTTATTTTAGCTCTTTCTCTCATGTGTATCCTAACCAATAAATCTCCAAACTTTAGCATACATTTCTTAGTCTGTTTGGCATGGAACACAGCAAACCGAGGTCTCTATATACCAAACTCTGACCCTTGCTTAACAGTTTAACATTGGACAGTGACAGGGTCATGGTAACATCGTTGACTCTTTGGGCACATATATTCCATATAGATTAATACAAGAGCAGGAATGAGTATACTAATACAAGCCAAAGATGTTCCTTACCGATGGATAGGCTGCCACAAGCCAGAGCCATTCCAAGCACTACAATCACAGTGCCCACAGCTAGGAGGAGTGGAAGAGGAAGGTGTCCCTCTGGGATGGGGCTGTGAGGAACTGGCCAAAACAAAGACACATTAATCACCAGACAACCACAGCCCCATTAAATAATCTCTCCCGCCATGGTTCCCCTCTTCCAAAAAATAATATGATGATGATGGTGAAGAACCATCATTTGCATGTTAAAGCAAATTCCATTAGGGCCCCAGGAGTCGAAAACACTCATAAATCACTGTTCAACCAATGTAATTATCTAAACACGAACAGCTTGAAACAAACATATCCCTTATTCTGTTCTTCAGGTTCCAGATAGATGGAAAACAGCACTGCCCACCAACTGGAATTCCCCAATGGAAGCTCAATGTCAGAGTTGCATGACAGTGTTAGAAAAAAATGATGAATATCAGTCAAATGGGTATTAACTGGTGTGAAAAGAAGGGGCCAAATTCATCTCTAGTGTAACTCCATGTGATTCAGTCATTCTATTTGGCGGTGTTACACCAGAGATGTGTTTAACCCAAAATGTTTACTGATAAATAAGGCTGCAAGTTTGCCATGGAGGTCATAGAAGTCATGGATTCCATGACTTTCCAGGACCTCCGTGACTTCTGCAGCGGCCAGTGTGGCTGGCCCAGGGGCTGCCCATGGATCCCAGCCAATGGAAGCTGTGGAGCCGGTGCTTGGGGCGGGGGCAGTGCGCGGAGCTAGGAGCTGAGGGAGGGACATCTCGCCGCTTCCGGGGAATTGCAAGGAGCCGGGTAGGGAGTCTGCCTGCCCTGCCCCCCACCCACCCCCCCAAGCACCAGCAGGGATCCCAGGCCGCCTGCCGCTGCCAGCCCCCCTGCCCAGCACCTGCAGCACCCCCCTAGGCCACCCCCCCAAGCATCTGCAGTGCCCCCACGGTGCCCTGTTACAGATGTCATGCTTTCAAGCCAAACAACATTGAATTTTTGAGGCTGTGGGGTGGTGCAACTCATCCTGGTGTGCAAGGAGATGGTGTCTGGAGTTTTCAGGCCTATCTACTCCCAACACTGTTCAGAATCCTGCATCTCCAGAGTGAAATATAGAAAGATGTCTTCCCCTTCTCCTCCAAAGATTTGTGCTTGCAGAAAGTGCGTGAGCCAGACAGCAAGCTGAACTTGAAATCTAGCTCTTCCTCTAAGATGGGGGTTCTCGGTCTTTTTCTTTCTGAACCCCATCCCCAGCATGCTATAAAAACTCCGCGGCCCACTTTGTGTCACAACAATTGTTCTTCTGCATATCCAGTCGATTAAAAGCTGTATTAAATTGATCATTATAGAGTTACAAACAACACTTATATAATATATAAAAAGGATAATGTAGGTACAAAAATTAAAAACTGAATATTATTTTTATTTTCCTTACTCAGTGTGAAACTTGTTGCTGGTGCTGACCCACACGCTGTGTGGCTCGCTGAGGTGAGTCGGGGGGTGGAGGTGGCACACCCTGCAAACCCCGCCACCCGGGGCTGAAGCCCGGTTTATTTTGGGAGACCCCCAGAAACCTGCTTGCAGCCCCCCAGGGGGCTGTGGCTCCCCAGTTGAGAACTGCTGCTCTAAGACTTTACAATGAGGGAACATTGTCTAGTAGTTAGAGTAGAAGAATGGCAGTCAGAAGATCTTTGGTCCATTTCCAGCTCTGCGGCAAACGTCTTAACCTCTCTGGGTCAGACTTCCAAAAATATTTAGGCACCTAAAGATGCAGATAGACACCTGGTGAGATTTTCAAAAGTGCCCACCCACTAACCACGTCAGACACCTAACTTTCACTGATTTGAATAGAATTTAGGCTCCTAACTTGCTTAGGTGCTTTTGAAAATCTCACTAGGTGCCTACCTATGTCTTAGTGCCTTTGAAAATCTGTCCCTCTGTCTCTGTTTGCCTGCTTGTAAAATGTAGATAATACCCAGCTCCCAGAGATGCTGGGAGGATTAACTTGTTTAATGTTTGAAATATCTCTGATGGCAGGCAATAGAGAGGAACGATATCATTATTTATGAATCAAGTATCTTTACCTTGAGAAGCTGGAAGGAGGGGAGATGCAAAGAAGACAGAAGAAATTCTGAGAGTATAAAGCTCCACCTATTACCTATGCAGGTGACATTATCACTGGCCAGCACGGCTCCCATCTCACAAATACAGATCGGCAGATTGGTGTCAAGGTCCCGCTTGCAGTTGCCCGAGTGGCAGTGGCTGCAGTTCAGGTAGACCTGAATCTCCGCCTCCCCGTGACTCTCCATGGCTGAATGAGAAGGAGCCAGATGGAACAGAAGGGTTTAATTTATCTTCTCCCACGTTGTAAAGGTAGAAAGCAAATGCAGGAGGCTATAGTGCCAGTCTCCCTACTTAAGAAAACACACATCCCAACATAACACAGTACAGACATCACCCATTTGAGGAGCGCCAGGAGAAGTGAATGAGTACTGGCACTGAAATTCACCTCCCAAAAGCATGACCCCTTTGGATTAACCTTGAGGTGCGATGGGGAAGACGGATGGGGTAGGCCAGGACTGAATACATATAACTGTACCCGAAGATTGGTGTCACCTCTCAGCCCAGGAGAGAGAGTTGTAGGGGGAAAATCCTCAGCTAGTGTAAATTGTCATTGAAAGCAATGGAACTATGACAATTTACATTACCCGAGGATCTGCATCATAGAGTACATGTATGTATGGAGGTTATAGAAAGGGACAGAAGGAAGGAGAGGCGAGACAGGAGGCAAAGGGGAGGCAGAGACGGTGGTGGGAGAATAGAAAACGTTTGTTTTACCTGCCAGGGGATGCAGGAAGATCTCCCCAGCTGGATTCACAAAGGAAACACCATCCTGCCCATCAGCTGTGATATCATCAACATCTGATACATGCCCGCCTGGAAAAAAGAGAGGTGTCACCATGTGCAAGTGCTGAATAACAGCAAAGGTGCGGTGGCCACAAGATGCCGGGGTCCCCCCGTTTGCATTGGTCTCTTGAAGTATGGAGTTCCACTGGGACTTGCTAGTGAGATAATGTGTTTATCTCTTGTCCTCAAAGAGGACAATGAAATCATTCATCCCAGACCCATCAGGGCTGGCAGAGCCCTTCAATCCAAAAGTATCTGTCTTGGTTCAACTTGGTGCAAATAGGTTAGTTTTTAACAGAACGAATCGTCATGAAATGGACCGTTCCCTCTAGACAGGTCAAAGCCAGGCTAAAGGATGGTTAAATATCCTTGCAGATAAAGAGCAATGTTCCCAGTCCCTACAGTCTCCAATCCCCTAAATGAGAGGACAAACAGACCTACCTTTGTAGCCTCCACCTCCCCCGCCAGATGTACAAGCTCCTCCTCCTCCACCAAAACCACCTGAGGTGGCCCACTGGAGTTTGGCTAGTGACTGGGGACAGGCCTGGCCTCCCTCTCCACCTTCCAGGAGGGACTTCCCCGTCTGAGGAAACAGGGTGGTGTCTTCCCAGCCACCACCTCCACCTGCAGAAAAAAGAGAGAGAAAATCAGGTGAGCAGGGTATGGGCAGAGTGGAGTGGGGGAAAGTGTGTGAAGGGAGAGAAAATATCCCTTATGAGTTGTCTAAGATGTACCTGCATTCAAGTTACCCCCTTCACCAAGGGAATGAGGATGTCCATCAATGCAGCTTGCACAATAAAAACCCAGTTCAGGGTCTATATTATCTGTTGCTAAGCTAGCTGTGAAAAGCACTTGCTAACTACACGTACTGGTGTCCATCACTTTAAAAAGTGATGGGGCCATGGCCCCCTGGCCCCGGCGCTCCTGACTCTTGCCACGGCATAAGCCTCCGGCATCATCAGTATTGACATGGATGGTCGTCATGCTGTGATCAGAGAAGTCTCTTTTGTCATAGCCAAAGAAACAGCTGGTCTTGACGGCCTCTGGGAGGGCATGGAAGTCAACAGCTCAGGTCTCGCTGTATGAGCCACTCTCACAGAGTGGCAAGCTGTACCATCAGAAATGGGCTGACCTTGTGGAAGAATCTTGGTGCCTGATCTTCGAGGAACCTGATTCTGACTTTTTTTGTATGTTTCTGAGACCTAGAATGCGCTGAAGCCCCAGTGATGGGGACCTCTGATGACTTTTATCGGCAGGCAAAGCTGGGGGAGCATTCCAGGAAGGAGTCATGGAAGAGCTCCCCTTGGATGATTAAGGTGGTTCTGACACCAGTCTAAACGCTGCCTTGGTGTAATGAAGGCAGTCCTTCCTCGGCTTTTCTATCCTGGTCTTCAAGGTGCAACAAGTGGAGCACCTGTCTCTAACACGGCCCTCACCTAAGCACTTGAGACAGTGCAAATTACTGTTGCTGATAGAGATGGACTTCCAACAACCCGAGTAAGGTTGGAAACCAGGGACTTTGGCACAGGCTTCCCAGGTAGTAGACGATGCCTGAAGACCTACTTGACTGTAAAAAATTGAACTAAAACAAAATTAAAAATGAAGAAAAAACAAACAACAAATGACAAAAAAGAGTACCACCAGCTAAATAGCCAAGCAGCAATACGTTTGTTCACAGGGAACAAAGACTTGTTTCAAGACTGAGCTTGATACGTTTATGGAGGGGATGGCAGAATGAGTTTGTCTACAAAGTTATATGGCCCATCCACATGTGCCATTAGCAAATATCTCCAATTGCCAGAGATCAGACACTAGTTGGGGAGGGCTCTGAGTTACTACAGAGAATTCTTTCCCAGGTGTCTGGCTGGTGGGTCTTGCCCACATGCTCAGGGTCTAACTGATCACCATATTTGGGATCAGGAAAGAAATTTCCCCCAGGTCAGTTTGGCATAGACCCTTGGGCTTTTTTTGCTTTCCTCTGTGGCTTGGGGCATGGGTCACTTGCTGGTCTGCCCTAGAGTAAATTGTGGATTCTCTGTAACTTGTCAAGATTTGAGGACATCAGTAACTCAGCCAGAGGTTATGGGCCTATTTCTGGAGTGGGTGGCTGAGGTTTTGTGGCCTGTGATGAGCAGGAGGTTAGACTAGATAATCATGATGATCCCTCTGGCCGTAAAGTCTATGAGTTTATGAGTAAGACACTCTGACCACGACCATGGATGGTAAGAAGGAACTGGAGGAGAGGTGGGGTGGTTCTGCATTTTATACCCTTGTTGGGAGCACAAGGAGCTAGGAGATGGGTGGGGCCACCCCTATGGGTATTGCTAGGGAAAAGTGTCTGGCACCAGTGCACAGGACATGCACATATTTACAGTGTAATGGACATATGCCAGCACTTGAAGAAGAACCATTCATGTCTCAGTGGGTTACTCCCACAGAAAAGTTTATATGAATCAAAAGGATTTGTGTTGCTTAATGTCTGCAGGTCAGTTTTGTTCTTCAGCCATCAAATCCAGACCTTGTATTGCTACAGGGCCTCACCTGCTGCCCCAGTTCTCCCATTGACTCCAGGGACTGCTGTGTTGTTCTCAAACCGCTCCAGGGGTACATCATCCAGGGAGCTGTCCTGATCCCTCAGGTATGCCTTTCCCCCTCCTCCTGCAGCGATGAGCAACGGTTCGAAAACCCCATCCTTCAGCTGCTCAAGGACAAATACAATTCAGTACACAGGACAGTTGAAAGGTGCAGCAGGCTCAAAACCATCAGATACCAGAAAACCCTTCAACCTCTCATGAGAGAACCCACCTAATTCATTGCATCAATAAGCATAAAAGCAGCTCATACAATAGCAGCCATAGCCCAGAGCAATGCTACAGATTGTTTCCTGACACCATTATTCAGGGCAGTCTGCCAACAGTGACAAGTATCTGAAGCAGGTCCAATTAAACACCAGTTGTTGAAGCTGGACCAGTCCCAGTGTTAAGCAGCAGACCCTGGTTTGATTTCCCATCCTGGTATTGTTGCTTGGGCTGACGGTACTGAGGAGGCAGTAGCTAGCAGGTGATTGAAATGAAGGGGAATGAGGATAGGAGGAATTTGCATTTATGTAAAACATTCCCTCCCTTCCTTCAACTTCCTGAAACAGCTGATAGCATCATATCACATGATCACTAGTGAAAGCTAGATCTTCTGCTGGACACTGTCCAGAAGGGGATTGGAAAGAGGGAAGACTTACTCTAAAGATGAAGGTGGCTCCTCCACCCCCACCCCCTCCTCCAGCCCAGTCCTTCAGATCCTTTTTGAGTTTGTAATCTTCTTCAATGAGAGATGACTCCCCCAGGCAGATCTTCTGAGTCTGAACATTCCCCTGAAAGGAGACAACAGATGCAGTTAGAGATCGACACCGTCTAGTCTGCATGCACAGATCTGTACACGCAGTATATGTTCTCCTTGTGGAGGGACCACTAGCTTGGTAAGTGACCTCTCCCTTGGCCCCTGACAAGCTTCTCCTGAGCTGGGAACATGTCACATGTGCAAGTGACATAAGAATGGCTCACAGCAGAACCAGAGAAAGGCAATGAGCCCATATTATTTTTATTCTTAATAACAAATGCTAATACATTGCACCTCTAGAGCTCCTTACATTCCAGGATCTTAAAATGCTTTCTGATTACTAATTAAGTCTCAGAATACTGCTATTCGATAGGTCAGTGTTATTCGTACTCATTGTTCTGATGAGGAAATGCAAGAACAGAGAGATGAGGTGATTTGCACAAGGTTGAACAATGAGTCAGTGGCAAGGCTGGGAATAGAACCCAGGAGTCCTAGCTCCCCATTCCCTGCACAAAGCACTAGACTACCCAGAGAAAATACAGAAAAATTGTTTCTCAGCTTGGATTTTTTGGGGGACACTGAGCTACACACATCTTTGGAGTTTGTTCTTCCCTGTGTTTGCAGAGAATATTGGAGTCAATGGAAAGACCCCTATTGACTTTAATAAGCTTTGGATCCAGCCGTAAGATTGTAAGCACTTCAGGGCTGGGAGCACTTCTTACTATATCTGTCTAACACAATGGGCTGTGATCCCAACAGGGGCCTTGAGTAATGATCTCAAATCCTGGCAGGCCTGATAAAATCCCTACTGTGGAGAAATGCTGTTTGTGATCAGGAACATGCAGCCCAGACCTAGCAGCTGGCTGTGACTGCCCTGTTAAAGCAACTGAAAGGGGCAGGTTTTGGTTTTTTTTGAACACCGGGATTTTAAAGCAGAGTTTTATGCTTGTGCTTTTGGAAGACGCTTTTCATTTCAGATTTCCTTGTATTTATTTTCAGAAGATTCTTTTTAGCTCAGCTCATTGGTTCCTCCCAATTCCCTTTCTGGGTTTTACTCACTTGAGTCTGGGCTTCCTGCCCTTCATCACCAATACAGCCAAACCCTAAACCCACTCACTGAGGGGTTCTGCAGCTGATCTGTAATGTGGTTCTACCCAGTGACGAGTGTGTGTGTGTCCCTCACCCCTGGGCAGGCATCCTCCCCCTGCTGCCCCACCAAGATGTAGAGGAGCTCATCTTTCTCCAGCTGGAAGGTGGCCGAGATGAAGACCCCATGCGATCTCTTCTTGTGGTTCTTGGCTCCTTTCCCTCCGGCTGCTCCATATGCAGATATCCTGAAAAAGAAAGGAAGCAGTTAGAGAGACAGAAACCCTACACCCACAGCCCAAAGCGACTCGAGCCGTGAGCTCCCCATGCCAATGCTCTGGCATGGTCACAACCCCAAAGTGACTTCATTCCTGACCTCCCTACAGCCAGTTCTCTAACACCGTCAGAGCCCCAAAGTGAGTTCCCCCAGACAGCACCCCTACAGTCCCACAGCCTCAAGGCCATTCCAGTCCTGAGCTCCTCACTGTCAGTGCTACATCACTCCTCTCAATAACTCCTCACTTACATTGTTCCTGAGCCATAACTCTCCACTGTGACTCCTGCTGGCTCTGAGGTACTCACATTTACCCTACACTCAGCCACTCCCAACAAATGTTGTTGCACTAAAGGGTATACAGGTGCTATGGTAAGTGGGAGTTGCTAGCTGACTGCCTCTCTGGTTCCCAGCACACACCGACACTCACAAGTATTGGTTTGTTGCTGGCACTCTCCACACTTGCACCCCTCGGAGTGGTCCCTCTTTCTCTACAGTCACTGAGATGTTGGTGTTGTAATAGGCACCGTCACACTGTGCTTGAGTTGGTCCTCGGGGGCCACTGGCACCACAGGTTGTGAACCACCAAAGAACATTAGGCACATTTCCTGTGACAAAAACAGTGAGAGTTGAGCCTAGAGATGTCAGCCTCCCTTTCATAGTCAGATACAATAACCACACAACCCCTCCACAATCACAGGGCAAATGACATTGAAATGCAGCAATTCTTCCTGTTGATACATGTTTCTGTAAATTCCTTGGTGACTAACCTAGGAGCTTCATGAAAAAACAAATTTCACATCACACCCCATTCGGTGATGTTAATTTAGATACAAGACAACTATAAGCCAGTCCAAGCTTTAGCAACATCTGCCTTGTGCAGGGTTTTTAAACTATCACACACATTAATTCTGTCAAATCTATACATCAAAGTTTTTATTAACATAGTTATAACTACACACAAATACTGTGTAAAAAGGACATTAAGGTTGCAAAGTCAAGGACTCCGAAATTAGGAAATTGCTGAATTATTAAGGTTGTCTGTAAAACCTTAATTCAGCCCCCTTGTGCGTATGCATTATGATACAATCTTTACTTACCTGATCGCATACAGGTTTTTCCCCCATAGAACCCCTGCCTCATGCAGAGCACAGGATGAATGGTGCTCTTGGGGTGAATCAGAGCTGTATAGTGAAGGAGGCTGTAGGGGCCCTGATTAATTTGTTGTAGAAGTTGGAAGGTGTATAGTGAATGAGGAAGGGAATTGCAAGAAGAGAAAGGATGGCTGCATAGAATCATAGAACTGTAGGACTGGAAGGGATCTCACTAGTCCAGTCCCCTGCACTGAGACAGGACTAAGTATTATCTAAGCCCATCCCTGACAGGTGTTTGCCTAACCAGTTCTTAAAAACCTATAATAGAGATTCCACAACTTCCCTAGCTAATTTGTTAGCTACAGTGCTTAACTACCCTGACAGTTAGGAAGTTTTTCCTAATGTATAACCTAAATCTCCCTTGCTTCAATTTAAGCCATTACTCCCTGTCCTGTCCTCAGTGGATAAAGAGAAAAATGTATCACCTTCCTCTTTATAACAATATTTCATGTACTTGAAGACTGTTATCATGTCCCCCCTCAATCTTCTCCTCTTCAGACTAAATAAATCCATTTTTTTCAATCTTTCATTGTAGATCATGTTTTCTAGATTTTTAATCATTTTTGTTGCTCTTTTCTGGACTTTTTTTTCCAATTTGTCCACATCTTTCCTGAAGTGTGGTGCTCAGAACTGGACATAGTACTCCAGTTGAGGCTTATCAGTGCTGTGTAGAGCGGAAGAATTACTTCTCATGTCTTGCTTACAACATTCCTGCTAGTACATCCGGGAATGATGTTTGCTTTTGGTGGTGACGAATTGTGTGTTCATTTTCTATGTGTCTGATTCAATAAACCTGGGGGTCTAATTTGCAGAAATGTTGAGCACTCACAGTTGCAACCCTTGTCAATGGGAACTGTACTTTCAACCTATGAAGTGCTATATAATCCTAAGTACTCTGAAAAATCAGATCCTAGTCATCTCAAATTTGGCACCTGAAATTAGTGGATATTTTTGACCTTAATCTCCCTCTGCCTCAGCTCCCCATCTGTAAAATGGAGATAACAATTGCTCCTCACCTCACTGGGGTGTGGTAAAATTAAATTTATTGATATTTATGAAGCAGTCAGATACCCTAGTGATGAACGCCACAGAAAAATCCACGAGGAAATTAACAATTCTGTCTTCAACGCATGAATAATGTGCAGTAAATGTGGTTGTAGTCAATAAAACAAAATTATATAAGCAAGTCCATCCTGTGCACTGAATGAGGCAGGAGTCCTATGGAAAAAATAGTATGTGATAAAAGACTGTATCATAATTCATATGCACAAGGGGGCTGAATTAAGTTTTCATAGGCAACCTTAATTCTGACATTTCCTAACTTTTGAGTCCTTGACTTTGAAATCTTAATGTTCTTTTAACATAGTTTTTGTGCATAACTATAACTATGTTAATAAAAACTTGATGTATATATGTGTGACAAACTGAATGTATTTGATGATTTTAAAACCCTGCAGAAGGCAGATATTGCTGAAACACTGACTGGCTTATAATTGTCTTGCTTCTGAACAAATATTACTAACATTATTGAATGGGGTGTGAGGTGACATTTGTTTGTTCATCAATCTCCTAGTTTAGTCACCAAGAAATCCACAGAAACATCTCTCAACAGGAACAATGGGGCAGTTCACACCCTCAGAAGTATTATTCCAGGCTTTTGCAAACTCAAGCAAACAGCACTGCATTGGTTTGCACTTGATTCTTGCTTTCTGGATTTTCATTGCAACATTAAAGACTAAACCCCAAATTTTTATTAAGACGAAAGATTTGATTCTGAAGCATGATTCTGAGGTCATGGGTAGGCAACAGGATCACCAAATTATGAAATACAGGGGCCTTGTATATAAGATAGTGACTGTTTATGTCTGTTTAATTCCAAAGGGGACCAGAGAAGCAGAATATTGGGTGGCTAATAAAAAAATCTTATTCCAAGTAAAAAGTCCAATCCTGCTCCCACTGAAGTTATTTTGGACTTCAACTGGAACAGGACTGGGCTCAAAACCCGCTAATATTATTATTATTTTTTTTAAAGAGGAGCGTGATGCAATGTTTGCATTTGTTTGTGTGGATTCTTTGCAAGAACCCTTGGTATGGTCTAAGCACCATAGGAATTCTTGTATATACTATTTTTACAAGAAGGGCATGTTGTCTGTGTATTTTTATGGCTATACAGAAAATACCAAGTCATTCTGATGATTCCTTTGGGCTTAATAATACAAGATGCGATCATCTCCTGAAAGGTGCTGAGCTCCTTCAACTTCCATTGAAGTTGCTGGAAACTGGTTGTGTTCAGCACCTCAAAGAATGTGATCGGGACTTAATCAGGCCCTTTGTGTTTAACCATATGATTATTTAACCTCTATCTGGGTATGCATTGACTAGAAATGATGAGTCCACTAGTTAGATTAAAATAAGAGCTGATCCAGACTTTTTGGTGTTGTTTGTACTTCCATGCTCTGGTTGGTGTCGGAAAAATAACTTGAAAAAAACTCAACAATGGCCATTGTGGAATTTCTGGCCCAGTTTTCCAGATTCAGGAGTCTGGATAAAGCAATAAGGATGGGCTGTTGCAAGGATTACTTACCAGGGACTGGGATCTGGTATGGAAATATCTATCTGAGTGAGAGACAGAGCTCAAGTATGGGACCATCCGCCTGAGACACAAGGATCCACTAATTAACTATGGAATTTGTATCTGCAAGGCAGGAACTTGATCCAGGATGATCTATTGTACTCAGGAGTCAGGGCTTCAGTATAGAGCTATCTACCTGAAAGGGAGGGCTCCTCCAGTGGGTTCAACAGATTCTCATCCATGATACTGATTTCCCGTGGGTATTGGTGCTTTCCAGGAGAATGGCTTTGTCTTCTTCCTGTCACCGTGTGTGGGATGGATGAGAAAGAGATGGGGGCAAAAAAGAGAGAGACTTTCAACCAAACTGCAGATAAATATATCAGGCACAATCCTTTTATTTAAATAAAAAAGTCCCTTTTGCAAGGCGGCAGAGAAGAGACTATGGTGTCCCTTATGCCACATGGACTACCGGAGCAAAAGGAACAGAGAGTTCTGTCATGTGTATGTGATGTGCATATGTGTCATAGAATGAATGGAAAAGAAGAGGAGAGGGACAGGGAGAAAGGAAACTTAGTATTTTAAAGAACTTCTGTTTTCAATTATCCTTACAAATCATTTGGGTCCTGATCATTGGCTGTGCTCAGGCACAGGGACCTGCCCGCATGAAACCACACTGAAGTCAATGGGATGCTGCATGGACACAGGGGTCTACCCCCATTTAGCCAACTGCAGGAAAAGGGCCTTGATTTGCATTTACATGCAATAAACAAGGGTATTAAACATAAACTTGACTATGATTAACAAAAATATTCCAGTAGAATCAACAATGGAATATTACATATTGATAATGGACATCCTGCTTTTAATCTGCTCAGTAATGACTGAATATTAATAATAGACTAATAAGAGTGGTGCAAAACATTCATGAAATTCCAGAATACATTTTTGCTAATTCATTTTGCAAGGTTTCCAAGTTCTCAAAATTTTGTTTTCTGAGAAATGTTGATTCCCAGTTTTTGTGTGTGTGTGCAGATCAGCTCCTGAAATGCCCTTCTAATTTGCCTTTTCATTCTTTTATAATTTAGCAAGTTCCAGATTTCATAAAGTGGCAAGGTAGCCATGTTTTGACAAATTTTGCTAGTGGAGAGAAAACAGGGAGAGATGACTCAACATAGAAACAGTCACACGCACCATTGATCAGATACTGTACACACCAGCATGTTTTACAGGTGTGGCAGGGTGAAGCCAACTGGTCCCGGAGCAGCTCTTTAACCCCTTTTCTCCAGCCTGAGGTTTGTACACCCCATCACACCATCTAATGCCTGTTCAGTGGCCAACATAAACTGAGCTCATTCAGTTCCAGCTGGATAGTTATCCTTTCACAAAGCCACCATTACATTTAGCATTAATTAACACCCTCGTTAGCAGTCTCAGCAGAGGCCAATTACCAAACTGAGCCATGAAAACTGAATTGACCTCTGTGACCAAGTGGGACTGTTCTTAATGTTTCCTCTGAATACTGTAGGGGTGCCTCAGTTTCCCCTATGCATTTCTTAAGTCTCTAGGTGGTGGGATAAGGGGGTATAATTGTTGCAGAGCAAAGGGCCAGTGCACATAAATGGCCGACACTCTGTCTCCTGGCAACTAATGGCCTGGACCCTTCCCCCCTGCAAGGAGATAGCTAAAGGTGTTGGAGAACAAAGGAATCAGATGACCTCCTGGTCCAGAAAAGGGACAAAGCCCAGAGGAGGAGGGGCTGGAGGGTGAGTCAGTTTTGGGGCTGGCTGGGGACTGTGGAGTGAGTGCAGACGTGGTTGTCTGTCTCACTGCCCCCCAAAATGGACCCGGCTGAGGGGTCCTGTTCTCTGTAACTACAAGCTCTGTTTTAGACCGTGTTCCTGTCATCTAATAAACCTCTGGTTTGCTGGCTAAAAGTCACGTTTGACTTCGAAGTTGGAGTGTAGGACCCTCTGGCTTCCCCAGGACCCCGCCTGGGCGGACTTGCTGTGAGAAGCGCACGGAGAGGCAGAGGATGCTGAATGCTCCAAGGTCAGACCCAGGAAGGTGGAAGCTGTGTGAGATTCTTGCCCTGAAGACAGTCTGCTCACAGAGAGGAGACTTCACCAGAGTCCTGACTGGCTTCGTAGGGAGCAGTTCCAGAGCATTGCCCGGGGACTCCGTGACAACCTCTCCCTTAGTGGTATTCTCTGCAGGTCTGACTTGAAGCACACTAATAGGTGACAGTGAAGGAAAGTGTTGTATTGACTCTTTCCGTAATGTATCTGTTCTGTGGATAGACAGAGGACTTCACTTGACAGAGCTGTCAAACTAATAGCTGTAACAAAAACTGAAATTAACCTAAACAAACTATTGGGATTAAAGACCAAAAGAAACCCAAGTAAAAAGACTAAGGTCAGTCAGAAAGAGGCTCTTGGTCTCTGAGGGCCGGAGTTAAATTAATTATGAATCCAGAAGGTCAAGACCATTTTTCCAGCACAACGTTTGGCCTTCAGAGACGTACAATAAACTCAATCGCTTTAGCCAGAGCGAAAGAATGTAAATCAGTCCCCATAACACTGCCTCAGTCTGTGTCTTTAGCAAAGCATCCTAACAGCATGTCCTAGGGCAATTCTTCATTTCCAAACAAACATCCTTTCCTCCTTTTCCAAACCTTCTGTCTCCTTCATGCGCACCAGACCAAGAACCGCATCCACTAGCCTCACTGAGCATCAGACTGCTCCCATTAATTATAATTATTGCTACTACTTAGAATTCCAGCATTTTATAGACTGCAGAGAAATGAATGCATAAGAGGGCATGTTCTATATACAGGATGGTGCAAGCTCCAAAGGTCTGTGTTTCAGTCTATTCCATCTTCTGTCTGGTCCCATACTCTGTGTGTGTATGTGGGGGGAGGAAAGGGGAGGTTATAAGCATATAGAAGGGGGAAGGCCTCTGATCATGAGTTGCTAGATGACACTTCGGGGTATGTGTATGCTGGAGAGATCTGCAAAGCAATTGGCCCTCTGATCTCCATCACTCAGCTTCATGTTCAGATGAGGCTGCTTACTCAGAAATCTTCTTCATTTCATCTGATTTCACCCTCCCCTACATACCCCACACTGCAGCCCTGGGAGCAGATTCTCTACTGTGTTCTGCCCCCTTATCATTGCCCGAGCTGCGTGCAAGTCTCTTGCTGGGAATCCTTTCAGAGCATGGGAGTCTTCTGGAGGCACAGAGATGAAGTGTCTCTCTCCTACACCTCTTTTCTCACAGCCCCTGCTGCAAAGGTTGTGTTGGTAATGGAGAGAGGTAGTGGCCCAAATGGTGTATGGTCCCTTGGGGATCCCAGCCAGTGCAAAATGAAGTAACCTGCAAGCCTCTCTAACCTGTGTTGCAGAAGGGGCAGAGAATCAGGAAGTAGAACCAGCTCCCCAACAGTCTCTTTGCTGGTCCATTAATTTTCCAGTGAACACTGCTACTAAATCAGCCAAATTGCTGCATTCCCTTCTGTTCATCTCAAGCGCCAAGCATGGTGCCTCCACAGTCGCATGTCTCTCCCCCTCCCCGCCCATTCCAGCATGGTGAGTGGGAGCCTGGAAATCAGGAACCTAACACCTGCCATACAGAGCTCCCCTGGGACAGACCAGCCATTATAAAAACAAATCTTTTATGAAAGCACAAGTAAGGTCCAGCATTAAATCTAATCCTGCAGGCCAAGACAACCCAGAGTCTCACATCAGATACTGCGATCTTAATAAGAACAAGATACAGTGAAGCTCAGAGCGATGCACGGTAAGAGAGGAAAAGCAGAGAGCCTCTAAGCACTCAAGAGGGCAGTGATTGCTCAAGATACATTCTATTAAGCATATTGCAATATGAGATTTTCAAAGGTATTCAGGCATGTAACTATGCAGATATTGATTTCAATGGGATTTGAGTGCCTAACCTGCCTAGGTGCTTTTGGTAATCCCATTAGGTGCCTAGACACCTTTGGTTTTCAAACTGCGGGTCACGACCCACTACTGGGTCGCAGAATGTAAGGCACTGGGTCGCAGCAGCTCTGGTCAACACCACCAACTGGGCCGTTAAAAGTCCCGTCAGTGGTGCTGCCCAGTTAAGGCAGGCTAGTCCCTATTTGTTCTGACACCACGCTGCGCCCCAGAAGCAGCCAGCAGCAGGTCCGGCTCCTAGGCAGGAGGGGCCACGGGACTCTGTGCACTGCCCCTGCCCTGAGCACCGGCTCCCGGCTAGTGGGAGCTGGGGGACAGCAGTGCCTGCAGGTAAGAGCCACACAGAGCCGCTTGCATGCCTCCGCCTAGGAGTCAGACCTGCTGTTGGCCACTTCTGGGGCACAGTGCGGTCTGCGGTGCCAGGGCAGGCAGAAAGACTGCCTTAGCACCCCCACTGTGCCACTGAGTGGGAGCCGCCCAAGGTAAACCCACACCCCAATCCCACACCTCAATCCTTTGCCCCAGCCCTGAGCCCCCCCAACGCAGAACCCCTTCCTGCACCCCAAACCCCTCATCCCCGGCCCCACCCCAGAGCTCTGACCCCCTTCTGCACCCCAACCCTGTGCCCCTACCCTCGAGCCCCCCCAAACCCGGAGCCTCCTCCTGCACCCACAAACCCTTCACCCCCAGCCCCACCCCGCAGCCTTCACCCCCGCATCCCAACCCTCTGCCCCAGCCCTGAGCCCCTCCCACACCCCAAACCCCTCATCCCCAGCTCCATTGGGTCACGGGCATCAAGAATTTTCTTCAACTGGGTTGCCAGAAAAAAAAGTTTGAAAACCATGACTCTAGCCAGTTAGCCAGGGGAGTGTCCCCTTTCCCTTTACGATACCTTCTCCCTCTCTCATAAAAATTGTGAGAGTGAATCAGACCCCAGGTCCGTCTCGTCTAGTATCCTGGCTCCAACAGTGCCCAGAACTACATGTTTCAGAGGTTGATTTATGCCCTGAAGCAGGAGGGTTTATATCCAAATTTCTGTGCTTATCTGTTTGTTGCTAATCCTTACTAGTGTCCCTTGAGCTGCTTTCAGTATCCACAGAAATAGACTATCTATTTTTCAAATCCCACTAACCTCTTGGGTCAGTGTGATGAGGGCTTTGAAGCCTCATCTGCCATTCCCAGCCCTTCCGCTCAGAGACAATTCCTTTAAAGCCAGTGCTGCATTCTGTAGAAGAGAGAGGACTGGAACTGATGAGGAAATTAGGCCTGGATCCACAAAGGGATTTAGGCATTGCAGCACCTAACTTTTCGATACCTAGAAAATCTCGGTAACACCACTGGACTCCACAAAGCCTGAATTAGGTGCCTATCTCTCAATCATGGTGTGTGCGCGTGTGTGTGTGAGGTAGGGTTACCATATTGCAATCCTGGAAAAAGAGGACACTCCAAGGGGCCCCGGCCCTGCCCCAACTCCGCCCCTTCCCCACCCTAACTCCACCCCTTCCCCAAAGTCCTCACCCAACTCCGCCCCCTCCCCTGAACGCTCCGCCCCCTGCTCCTCCCCCTCCCCTGCTTCCCACGAATCAAATGTGGGAAGCCTGAAACAGGCAGGCAGGCAGGCAAGCTGGGGGGGGGAGGGGGAGGGAACGCGACGAGGTGTGGCCCAGTCCGGCCCCCCTGGCTGAGCAGCTCCCTCCGGCGGCTGGCCAAGAGGCTCTGGCCCCGGGGGCTCCGGGCTGTTCCTCACTGCCTCAGCTACAGCTCCTGAAGCCCTGGATCGCAGGCTCTTCTCCCATATGCTTTCTATAGTCCAAGCTTTGCCTGCAGAGAAGCTGACTATGGGGATTGCGGGGAGAGCTATGGTGCCGAGCACCCCGCTCGCTGGGCCCCCCAGGTGAGGTGACACCCCCACGTGCCCCGGGCCGAGCCCGAGTCCGTGTCCCTTTAAGAGCGGGGCCGGGCTGAGCCGAGCCAGCGGGGGGCGGGGGGGGGGGGATGGCTCTGCTCCCCGCTGCAGGCTAATGCTGGAGCTTGGGCTGAGAGCCCCGCTCGTCTCCTGCACCAGCTCCAGGCGGGGCTTTGCTGCGACTCCCCCAGTCCCCCAGCGCTGGGCTGCCCCACGGTAGGGGCGGGTTGCATGAGGGCCAGCAGGGCAGGACCTGGTGGCGCCGAGGGCTGAACAGGCCCAGCAGCGTGGTGTGGGGGCTGCTGGAGGGGGAAGCTGGGGAAGGGGTGGCACGGCCTCAACACCCTGGGGCTGCCTGCCCCGCGGATGAGGCAGAGGGGCGCAAGCCGCAGCAGGACCCCAAGCCCCCGGGGGAGGGGATCTGGGGCCAGCCCGGGGAGGCAGGAGCAGCCCCGGGGGTGCTGGGCGCGTGCAGGGCAGAGCCCCGGGAGAGCCCCAGCCCCGCAGCAGGCAGTGCTGCAGAGGAGCCCACGCGCCGCGGCGGGTGAGGGGAGCCCCAGGCAGGGAGAGCCGGGCCGCCTGCACCCACCTCTCGCGGGCGCCCCATGCTGCTCCCGGTACCACTTTCTGCCAGCGCGGCTGCCCTGTCAGCCACTTTTGGGTCTTTAAATAGCCGTCCGGGGGGAAATCCCGGACATTTTTAGCTTTTTACAAATTCCCCCCGGACGGCTATTTAAAGACCCAAAAGCCGGACATGTCCGGGGAAACCCGGATGTATGGTAACCCTAGTGTGTGGAGAGTTGGGAGACCCTGAGTCCAGTCCCCCTGCTCTAATCACTCTTCCATTATTTAGTTACAATGGAACAGCTGCAATAGGAGAGTCTGAAGGAGCCCCACATCAGAATAGTGCATCGCCCAGTGGTTAGAGCACTCTCCTCAGAGGTGGGAGATCCCTGTTCAAATCCTTTCTCCCCCTCAGGCAGTGATGGGGGGATTGAACCTGGGTCTCCCACATCCCACGTGAGTACTCTAAAAGTCATAAGGTGGGCACAGCTGCTGCTGCAGCTGGCTGGATTCTGAATGAGACCCAATTCAAAGGAGGCGTACTCAGGGGCCACCTACTGGATCAGGCGCCGCATGCAAGAAAGGCAAGCAAACATCTCTCTCCCCCCAGTTCACGAATTGCTCTGGGGTCTAGGTAGGAGATAGGGATCCAGATTCCTGGAATGAGGCAGCAGTGTGCATGGCCAGAGGCAGAAATATAAGAGCTGAGGGCACTTTTATCCTGAACATTTGGGTGCCTACAGGGTTTGGTGGGAGATTTGTGGATTGCAGTGGAGCCTAAAACTGAGATTTAGGCACCACCCAAGATTTAGGTGCCTAATATGGGGTTCAGATGCCTAAGTATCTCTGTGGATTTGGGTGTTAATATTTACATTCTAACAAGGAGCAAATCCAGCCTCCCGGGCTGCCATGCACCTCCTTTCTGCAAAGAATGTAGTTCTCTCAGCTTGTATCTTAATTGGCTTCATTTGTGACATGTGAAGCCTCTCTTGGCCAGGGAGAAGTAATTTCATTACTGAAAATACAGCAGAGCTGCTGGGCTTCTCCGCGACCTAACTGAATTAAAGGGATGAGAAGATAAATAGAAGGCTGTTTTCAAAGGCAAGAAAAAGTCAACTCACAACGAGAATTCAAAGAACAGTGGTAAACCTGAGTCTTGCAGGAAACACAGTTTCTTCACTCTGTCCTTCCACTGCATGAATCGTGCCTTCCTGGCCAGATCCTCTGCAGGTATAAATGGCTGTAGCTCCATTGAAATCAATACTGATTTATGCCAGCTGAACACCTGGACCTACATGTTTAACATACCCATGCTTTTAGCTCCCAACATCATCTTTTTGCAGAAGAATGAGAAGAGAGGCTAGATCTGTGTCCCCTCCACATCTCACATTGCCATCTCAGTTCCTGTCTCACCTTTAGAAAACCTTCATCTCTTCTTCAATTATATTCCAAAGACTGCAGAAAAATGTTTACAGACCAAACCCAAAGTCCAGTTCACACCCACGTGCCTTCAGCAGTTAGCAATGCAGAAATGTTGGAGTAGATTTATGGCCTCACTTGCAGAGCTGATGAGCACCTGCAGGTCCTGTTGATTTCAAACTGGAGTTCTAAGCGCTCAGCCCTTCAGAAAGTCAGGCCCCGCAGAGCACAAAGAAGGGGACTGATAGCACTGACTTAGGCCAGGCACACTGTGGGCAGGTGTCAAGTATCAGAGGGGTAGCCGTGTTAGTCTGAATCTGTAAAAAGCAACAGAGGGTCCTGTGGCACCTTTGAGACTAACAGAAGTACTGGGAGCATAAGCTTTCGTGGGTAAGAACCTCACTTCTTCATGTACTTCCCTTGCATAGTTCCGCTAACACACCTCAGTCGCAAACAGGGCCGGCTCCAGGCACCAGCTTGGCAAGCAGGTGCTTGGGGCGGCCACTCCGGAGAGGGGCGGCAGGTCCAGCTATTCGGCGGCAATTCGGCGGATGGTCCCTCACTCCTGCTCGGAGCGAAGGACCTTCCACCGAATTGCTGCCGCAGATCGCGATCGTGATTGTGATCGCGGTTTTGGGTTTTTTTGTTTTTTGGCTGCTTGGGGTGGCCAAAACCCTGGAGCCGGCCCTGATCGCAAACTCAACCACTCCTGATCCTGCAGGTCTGAAGCCCACCTGGGCAGAGACAGTCAATTGTGTGGAATGACGACAGACTCCTTGGTGATTTTGTGCTGTGCACAAATGGGGAGCAGGTTGAGACACAGCTATCACATTTTGCTTGTAATGCAAGCCAGGGTTTAGAAAAGGAACTATGTATTTTCCTTATTTTCTGTTTCTTTCACAAAGCTGCTAGTTTTTTCAGTGTTTAAAAACTAAAGTCAGCTGCTGATGTTTCCAAGTGCTAGTGATCCTTGCCCTCCTTCCACATACCAGCTCTGCAGATTGCAAATTAACTCCTCTGCGCATTCTACCCAACATCCTAATGTGTGAGCCCCATCAGATTCCACTGGCACTTAGGGGCCACTTCATTCCTGAGGCCAATGGGGGTGGCTTCCTGTGTTTCCTGGCATTTGGTTGGATTTCTAGGTAGAATACATTGTGATAAGTTGCATGTATTTGTGGTTTTCCTTGCTTGATTGCTTGCATACTACCCATCCACCAGTGACATGTGAAGCCTCTCCTAGCTGGGAGGAGTAAACTTATTGTATCGGTAGTCATAATCTTAGCCTTTTTGTCAAAGAGAGAAAGCATTTGTACTAGGGGAAGGAAAGGATTTTTCAAGGTCCCTTATTTTCCCCCTTTCCTACCCTCGCTCTCAAAGGTGATACATTATGGTGACCTTTCCACCAGTTGATTCAGAGTAGATGTGACTCTGAAGTCTATCAATTTCCAGAGCAAGTAGGTCAAAAGGGGTCACTAAAGAGCAGTGCAATATGATCTTTCTACCTGTGAGCTGATTGCAAGGCCAGTACTTCCAGTTGAGATCGGCAAAGGTCCCAAAACATGTGATCTGGGAAATTGCAGGTTAGGGAAAAGAAAGAGCATTAAGAAGGCAGAGATACACTGGAAAATTGTGTAAATGAAGGAAATCTTCCGTAGGGAAGGAGCTGAGAGTCACTATGTCCAAATACTACAGCATAATAAAATGTAGCATAGATAATCCGAGTCCCTTCTGTAGGGAAACCATAACTTGTGCATCCTGGATCTTTGGTATGCTGATTATCCTATATAAATTCTCTGAGAGGCTCAGAATGCTTTGTGACTCACCATCAGGGAAGCAGCTCACTCCAAAAGTAATATTGTCCATCGCAATGTCAGCTTGGGAATTCCAACCCCAGATTGCTAGAAGCTGCAGGTGAAACCTTTGGAACAAGACAAAACTTTCAGAGAGAGAGAGAGAGAGAAAGAGAAATAAACTCCCAAAACAGCAATCCCATAATGATAACATGGAATCAGAGTATTTCTTCAGGAGAAGCCCTGATAAGCAGTCACAAGGAGCTGCCACAAACCACCTGTCCACACTTCATAAGTTGTTAAGAACCCACTCTAGTTTCGTCAATGCAACAGTTCATGGGATGCTAAGCAGTATGCAACCTACAGAGCGAGAGCGAGTGTGTGTGTGGGGCGGGGGGGGGGGAGAAGGGGACCAATAAACTGCCCCATTTCAGTCACCACAAGACAAAGGAAAATATCCATGCACAAAAGGCAAAAACTAAACCCAAAAACAAAACCCCAAGGATTTCCCCAGTATTTACAAAACAAGAGACAACCCCTGGGCCAGATCCTCAGATGGTGTACATGAGGTTAATCAAAAGAGCTACACCAATTTACACCAGGTGAGGGACTGGCCCTTGAGAAGTTTAGCAGTAGCTCCCCAGCATGTTTACTTTGCTGGTGTCTTGCCCTTCTTAGGCTTGCTCAGCAGGAGCTATAAGTTAACTAGCTTAGCTAGGCAGGTGCCAGGAGGACAATGTGTGCATGAAGACATCACGTCACACACTCTGAATTCAGTAGGGGGGGAAATATGCTGTAGGGTCCCTTCCTAATGGATGAAGCTGAACTGTTTTTGATTTACCATCATAAATAATTAGATGTCTGACATCTAAATACATTTGGATCTCATTTAAAACACATGGGGAGAACTGCCACTGGCGAAACTCCATCATGATTTATGGGAGATGGAGCACTGACATGCAGAGCATGCTGTTTAAATATATTAACTGTACAGTTTGGGAACAGTCTTGTTCTAAATGAGAGGCAATTTAAAATATATATACCTGCCAAACATTGGCCCAGATCGCAGATGATGTAATGTGGTGGAGCTCCACTGAAATCCTTAAGTCTACCCTGCTTTATACTAGTTGAGGATCTGGTCCATTATGTTTAAGTGAAAAAATTCACAACTACAGGAGCTAGACCTATACAAGAAGAACAATGCTGGTGCAGCATCAGTGTACTATAAACTCAGGGCCCTGTCAAATTTCACAGCCCTGGAGCCAGAGAGTCAGCAGAGGAATTTGCCATTTGAGCCAGTTGCTGCAGAAACCCTCCTTGTAAACACAACGCTCCTGCTTATTAAGGCAGTTTTGCTGACTATTGCAATCCAAGACTTTTTGGGCTCCTTGCCTGCCTCTCTTGTTTTCTGTCTGCCCATCTCTCCCCACAGAAGTGGGATTTCTAGCTGGTTTTAGTGGGTGTGCAGCATAGTTATGAGAATCAGAAGCAGCTTTATAGATTGTGAAGCTTCTGATCAAGACATTGAGCACTGAACTTTCTAGGCTGTCATCCTCCTCTCCCCATTCAAGGTAAGAAATAAATCAACCAGGAAGCTGAACTTGCCAAGAACTACTTACATGCTCCACATAGCCTGCCCTCAACTACCTAGTACTCCTTCCTTCTGACCTCCACCAGCTTCTGCCTTTTTACCTGCTTTCACTCCTCACAGGCTTGATTATCTGGTCTCTATTCACACTGCTCCTTCCTGTTTCCTGTCTTCTCCTACTCTATCCATACCCATGGCTATTCCCCCTCCTGGGAGCCAGGAACTCTACCCAACAGCAGAGGGAAGAGACTAGAGGTCTCCCTGCAGAAGACAGAAGGAGCATGGCATATTGGCCCACAATTCCACAGCAAGGACCCTTTGAGACACAACAATACTGGATCCTGCATTAAAGTAGAAAGATGGCAGCAGCTAGAAATGCATCAAAAAGAAATCTCTGTCTGTGAATTTCTATTTAATTACAATGAACAACACTACCTATCATGTTGGTCTAGATTGGGCTGGTAGCACCTCTTATTATTAAGGTTGCCTTTATAAGCCCCTGCTTTTAGTTGTTTATAACTTTACCAAATTTTAGCCACTTGGGCTGAAATTTCCTATGCAGGGTGTTTACCTCAGGCTGATCATTGATCATTATTATTTTTGATATCATTATTATTAAACTTTAGCCAAAATGGCTCAGTCATTTCTGAGAATGAGGCTGAGGAAAAATACATTATCTTGCCCGTGTTAAAAAGTTCTGAAGACGCCCTCTAGAACCCCCATGCTTGGCAGGAGAGTGGCGTTCGTATCAAGGATGTGCCTTTTGCCATCCCTGTGAAAATCTGCTCAAATTTGGCCAAGTTATAAGGTTTCAAAAACTGCAATTGGCATGTGGTCAGGAGAGACTTCTTAAAGTTTAACAGCTAAAATCTCCAAAGATTTCAACTATATTTGGCATGCACCAGCCCGGGGATGAGCAGGCTTTTCCCTGTAATTGCTGCTATAAGCCATTATGAGTTGAGCCAGGTGCACGCACCTCAGCTGACAGCAAGGAGTCTGTCTTTCCTGTGCTATATGTGCAAATAAGAGGATGGAAGAGAAAATGGCCTGATTCAAATGCAGAGAGGACAAGGTACAGACCTTTGGGGTGAAGGGTGTAGATTGGGACATGGAATTTGGGGTGGGGAAGACTGGGGCTGGAGGCTGACATTGAGGGAGAGGGAAACTGGGAGTTAGGAGAAACTGGGACAGGCTGGGCAAGGAGACTAGAACAGGAAGCCAGGAAGGGAAACTGGGGGTTCGGAATGGATTAGAAGCCAGTGAGAGAGGACTGAGATCAACCAAGGAGCTGGGGGTGGGAGACTGGTTGGACAATGAGAGTGAGACTGAGAACTAGTGGGGCAGGGAAGTGGAAGTGGAGGGGAGGGGAAGTAGATCTGTCTGTGAATTGCTTTTTGATGAATTTCTGGATGCTGCCATCTTTCCACTTTAATGCAGGATCCAATATTGTTGTGTCTCAAAGGGTCCTTGCTGCAGAATTCTGAACAGTTTTCAAGTACTTAAAAGGTTGTTACAAGGAAGAGGGAGAAAAATTGATTTTCTTAACCTCTGAAGATAGGACAAGAAGCAATGGGCTGAAATTGTAGCAAGGGAGGTTTAGGTTGGACATTAGGAAAAACTTCCTAACTGTCAGGGTGGTTAAGCACTGGAATAAATTGCCTAGGGAGGTAGTGGAATCTCCATCATTGGAGATTTTTAATAGCAGATTAGACAAACACCTATCATGGATGGTCTAGATAATACTTAGTCCTGCCATGAGTGCAGGGGACTGGACTAGATGACCTCTCCAGGTCCGTTCTAGTCCTATGATTCTAAGAACCTAGCATGTTGGGGGAGAACTGGGACTGGCAGAGGAAAGAGAGTGGGATAAGGAGCCAGGGGAACACTGATATTGGAGGATGAGACTGGGATGAGAAACCTGGGGAGTGGAAGTGAAGAGAATGGAACTGGGATAAGGAGCCAAGAGTATGGAGGGAAAAGGAATGGGACAAGGACAGATTGTAGGGGTTGGGCAGAAGGAGTCAGGCTTGGGGGGAACAGGCAAAAAGGTCATTGTCCACTAGAGCACATTCCCCTCCAGAGCCTGGAATGAAACCCAAGATTCCTGAGTCTTATCATAGCTCTGTTGTCAGCAAATATATTTGAAACCCACTAGTAACATGTCCCATCCCCTACTAGTATGGTCCACACAGAGGATGACAACCTCCTACTATTATCAGTTATTCCCTTAGTTTAAGTAGCAGAGGTCTGTGCAGTGGATATAAAGGTTCCAACCTTGCTGATGACCCTTGTGGATGTCAATATGATGCCACATGATGGAATATCTGTTTTTTCAGTTTGCTTTTTTAAAAACCTAGTAATTACATGAGACACTACCTTAAACAACATTAACAAGTTTGTAAAGTCAAATACTCAAAATGTAGGAAAAGACAGAATGAAGGCATTGCCTGTGCAACCTTAATTTGGCCCCCTTTTGTGTTACAAAACACTAATTACATGCTTACATACTATAATTTCCACAGGATCCCTGCCTTATCTGTGCACAGGATGGACTGTACACTGGGGATGAATCAAAGTTGTGTAGTAAAGGAGGCCATTGTCCGTAGGACGCCTGATGTCTTTGTTGGAAGGGGTGTAGTGAATGAGGCAAGGAATTGCAGGAAGAGAAAGGATGATCTCATGGTTAAGGCAGTTGAATGCTGCTCTGGAGAACTGGATTCTATCCCTGCCTATGCCACAGACTTTCCTATGTGATGTTGGGCAAGTCACTTGAACCAAACTTTTCACATATGGTCACTAATTGTGTGTTCCTCATCTAGGTTCCCGACTTGATATATCCACGGTCTGATTTGCAGAAGTGCTGAGCACTAACAATTGCAAATGAAGTCATTGGGAGCTGTGCTTTTAATATCTAAAGTGCTTTATAATGCCAAGTACTTGAAAAACCAGGCCATAGGCATCTCAGATTTGGCACAGAAAATTAGTGGATAATTTTGACCTTAATCTCTCTGTGCCTCGTCTGTGAAATGGGGATAATACCACCCCCTCACCTCACAGGGTGTTGTGAAGATAAATTAATGTTTGTGAAGCCCTCAGATACTACAGTGATGAGTGCCACAGAAATGCATAAGTTAGTTAATAATTCTGTCTTCAGAGCAGGGCTGGACTGGTGTGCAGTAAATAAACTCTGGCACCACAAATTGAACAATGAGGTTAAAACAACATATTGAATAGCTGCTCATTAAGTGAGCACCATCCAGCCTCTGCTCTAAATGAGGCAGGGGTACTATGGAAAAAATAGCATGTAATCATGTTATCAAAGACTATATCATAATGTATACTCACAAGGGGGGCAAAATAAGTTTGCACAGGCAACCTTAATTGTGGCATTTCTTAACTTTTGAGTTCTTGACTTTGCAATCTTAATAATGTTCATTTAAGGAGGTTTTTTGTGTGTAATATTACGTATCATTCCACATCTCCCTCATTTTCTGAGCATTTTCCCATGTATCTCATGCTGCCCCAGAAAGTCTATTTTGCTTCAAAATTCAGCACTGCCATGATGCAGAAACCAAGGACCCTGGGCAGAGAAGTTAGGATCTGCTTGTTGCAGAATACACAAGGTCTTAACTATATCCCGACAGCCCTCAGAATTCCTTTCCGGGATTCCAAACAATTAATGCCAAGTAGGAGCTCCTTGCAAGACGTTTAATTCTAAACCAATTCATTGGTTACATTAACAAACTTTTACATGATCAGAACTAAAGAGCTGCAAACTGACAGGGTTTCATACTGCTCCTCAATATCATGCCCGAGCATTAGGCATATTGCCAGCATGAGGATCCACCCTATATTTAAGTATTTGACTCGGGACAAACCCTATGGTCTAAGGGTTGGAAAACCTGAGGCTTCTAGATTAAACTAGAGATGGAGTTGAACAAAAATCCTGGATCTGAATTTTACTGGAATTTGGATCTTGTTCCAAACTTCGTAACTGGTCTGTATTTCAAGCTGAGCCAAAATCCCTAGATACCAACACCCTTGAACTCTGGGAAGGTTTGGATCTGGATCCATGCACCTGTCTCCGTGTTAAATGGCGTCCCCTTTTTTCTTGACAATGACGTTTCAAAGTCGTTAGTTGTTGTAAATATTAAATGGGATATTTCCTTTCATTATAACGTTTAATAATTAAAATGGATGCTAATTTTTTTTTGTCAAAAATGTCATTTGGGTGAAACCCTGCTGAGGAAGAATCAAAAACAGAAGAGTGCAATTTAAAACCACTCTCTCTGTGTAAAACTATAAACTGCCAATATACTCCTCCTGGTTTGAAATTGATTGAGGCTGGGAGGGGGGATGAGAAAAGTCTGATTAAAAAAATACTTGGTTTGAGTTTTTATAGACTTTAAAACTTGACTCCATTCAGAAAAACAAATAAACATTAGCCCCATCTGTACAAAGGGTGAACACGAATGTACACAAGCACTATTGTACATGCCTGTCTTAGACACTTGAAGTTTCCAGTCCACGTGCACACAGTGATGCTGCACACAAGCATCCATACGCATGCAAATCACTGACATGTGCATGCTGCCCATTGGGTGTTGTGCTGAGCTAATTTGGGGGGTGTGCTGTGCATTAGTAGATGTGCATGTGTGTGGCCTTTTGAAAATCTGGGTATTTTTCATTTTACATAAGAACATAAGAACGGCCGTACTGGGTCAGACCAAAGATCCATCTAGCCCAGTATCCTGTCTACCGACAGTGGCCAATGTCAGGTGCCCCAGAGGGAGTGAACCTAAAAGGTAATGATCAAGTGATCTCTCTCCTGCCATCCATCTCCACCCTCTGACAAATAGAGTCTAGGGACACCATTCCTTACCCATCGTGGCTAATAGCCATTAATGGACTTAACCTCCATGAATTTATCCAGTTCTCTTTTAAACGCAGTTATAGTCCTAGCCTTCACACCCTCCTCAGGTAAGAAGTCCCACATTTTCCATTTTAGAAAACAGACTTTTCCTTAACATATTCATTTTGCATCCAGTCTCAGTTAATCTCAAACAGCAATGGATACATAAAAGTCCATTCAAGCAGTTAGAAAGATGGGGTAATTTGAATGATGTGCTGAATCCACAGAACAGATAAAGGTGAATTATGTTCTAATTATATTTATTCATATACCTATGTGACTGACTCAGCTATTCACAATCCAGAATTTATTAATAGCATTTTATGGATCACTTTGTTTACCACACCCTCAGTCAAAATCCTACCTTTTCCCAACACTTTGCATGTCATAAGAACGAATTGTAAAGTTAACACAGTGTTCCATAATGCAACCTAGCTAATGCAGCCAATGCAAAACAACAATTCAGCTTGAACAAACAGTAAATCTAGGCCCTGATCCAAAGCTCTCTGAAATCAACAGGAAGAATCCCGCTGACTGCAATAGGCATTTGATCAGGGCCCTTGTTATTTTATCCATTGCCCCTCTTTGGTATTGTAAAAGGACAAGGGGCAGTTCTATATGTCACCATCAGGTGGCGATAGCAATGTCTGTATCCATGAGAGCAATGATTTAAGAGGATGTATTCCAACAGCCATACCTACAAAACCCTAGTCTATGTGACTGTAAGAGAGGCACCGGAAGAAGTCAAGAATGGAAGCCATGCTCCACAACAGTCCAGCAAACAAATTTGTTAACCAATGGCATTCTTACCTGTTCTGGAGCACTGGCATTTGCAGTGTGATGAGAAACCAGCGATCGCTCCAGCTCCCTGTTCTTTCCCACACCAGAGGGGAGATACTGACTCCACCTGTCTCTTCCTGGACAGAGAACGAGATGGTGCCATTGTAACTGCCAAAAATATGCACTGAGAATTGGATCTGTAATAAAATAAGACGAAAATATTGGCATCCTGTGGTGAAAGGAGGGTGGCAATTGAAAGGACGGATTGTCTTTAATAACCATGCAAACCAGCCTTTAAAATGGGAATTTTTATGGTTCATGTCACCTCCTGGCCTTGACCCCTCTCTCCTGGATGGGTACCAGACGGTTGTGTTTGGATCCAGCTGCTGAATCCCATGTGCTTCTAAGCCCTGTTGTGTGTGGGCAGTGACTGATCACTGTTTCTAGCCCTTAGTCTCAAGCACACTCCCAGGTGCAGTCCCCATGTCTGACACCCTCCCGGGGCAATGGGATCCCGCAGTCTGGCTGCCTGGAGCCCAGAACTAGTGCCCCAGCCTTCCCAAGCCCCCAGTTGCTTGGAGATGTTCTCTCAGACTCTACCTCACTATGGGAGCTCTGGTTTCCCAATTACACCCCTCAGGGACAACATGGCAGTAAGATAAGGAAACAGGCTTAACAAAGGAACTTCTTAACCACAGACACTTTTACTCTTAAATAGCATTAGGACTACAGATCTTAGGGAAACAAACTCCCGAATGCATTCTCCCTCAATGTGCTGACCACCACAGTGAGTGCTAGGTTGGGTCTGAGTCCTTAGGCCAGATAGCTCCCCGTGCCTGCAGCGATGGGATGGCCCCCCCTCGAGAAGCAGCTCCCTTAAATAAATGCTCTCCTCTTTAGTCATGTGGGTAGGCCAGGCAACTGCAGGTCTTCCAGTCATGTGCTTAGACTGCGGGATTCCAACCCCCTCCTCAGAGACAGGTTTCTGCTAGAGTCAATTCAAAGTCAATGGCCCCTGTAGGCAACAAACCTATTGTTTCACTAGGGAAGACTCATTCAGAATTGATAGCCCTTGATGGCTCTCTCCTTGCTAGTCTCTTGAGTGTCCCAACTCCTTGGCATAAGCACCCAGTATCCAGAACAGACTGTTCTTAAGAACATAAGAACGGCCATACTGGGTCAGACCAAAGGTCCATCTAGCTCAGTATCCTGTCTTGCGACAGTGGCCAATGCCAGGTGCTTCAGAATGAACAGAACAGGCAATCATCAAATGATTGTCAGCATCTGACTGGTTTTCAACACCATCTGGATATCTTAACCCAAGCTGGAGGTTACAATGCAAAGTGAAGGTTACAAGGAAGATTACAATAAAAAATGGTGCTCCCAAAACAATATGGAGTTTACAGTTTGAAGGGGAATGGAGAAGGCGTACTTGAGGAACCTTCTCACATCTCCTCACAAGATAGAGGATCTCCTATCATGTTTGCATCCCCTTTGACATGAATCACCTCCATATCATAACATGGGTGCCAGACTCCATTTTAGAAATTTGGCATTAAAGCCCTTCCCTTGGGAAACATGGTCCTTCCAAGTCTCATTAAAGATATTATATACGTCAAGGCAAATTCCTCCATCCCATATGTTCATACAGTAAATTTCTCAATAACCAAACTAACATATAGTATTCATCAAACATCACAAAGCAGTTCAAAATCTGTCACATGTATCTTCCCCTTTCAGAGCACACTGGACAGATATACATATGGAGTTCACGCACACACCCATTGCCCCAGAACTTCTGGGTTTGAAGTTGAGACTTGAACCTGCCACTTCCTCCTTCCTCTCATCAGCTAGGGAGTGGGTGCTCCTTCCTTCCTTAATGTGTCACCCACCAAAAATATATGCTGGGGTTTCTCTCCCACTGGAGTGGTGTACGAAGCACCCCCTTGAAAGGCTGGGTGGTCAAAACAGACCTAGCCCCCTGTGAAGCTGGTCTTAAGTGAGCAGTAACTCCTGAGCTCTGGTTACCCCATGTCAAGTGGGGAAGGGATTCAGGGCTCCCCAGCTCTGGCATTCCTTCTCAGGGTCTTGATTTCCACCTGTGGGCTGTGTGCATATGAGGAAACCATTTCCCTCCTCAGGGACTGTTTCCTCTCTCTGCCCCATCTCCATGAGGGTCAAGAGCTGGGGTTCCTTGTGGTAACACCTCCCTTTCTAAGGTAAGGGGAGGCAGGGAACTGAATCTGACTTCTTTGTATCTGCACTTGAGCACGCCTGGCTCACTCCACCTGTAGGGAACTGAGCAGCATTCCTCCCTCCTCCCAACACAGGTTCATTTGTGTTCTCACAGACACTCACCTCTTCCGTGAGTGATCGAAGTCGCCTGTTCGCCATGTAGTACAACTGGACTCTGGCTCAAACTTACAACATAGTTTTCCCTAAAATATCAGATGGAATATCTTCTAATACTCCCACCACCAGCAACCCTTAGCGCTCCTGGGTATTTACAAGGATCTGGCCTACAGGCGGACAAATGGTTTTACTCTTGGAACTTGTAGCCACATCTGACTGCCTTCCAACACCTGATGAGATTTCAGCATATGGGGCTTCACAGGAGTGTGGGCCGTGCTGGTGTCCCTCCACCGCAGAATGTCACTGCATTAACTTCTGCTTTCATCCCCCATTGGGAATCTTGTATTTCTGTTCCCATGAGGGTACAGCGAGACATATGTACTAATGCCTGAGACATGAGCTCAGCCACACGTACATTATATGCCCCAAATGAGCTAGCTGTGTTACTCACTCCCTCCAGTGGCCAAGTAGCAGATCCCCCCCCCACCCCCTTCAGGCTGGACGATCTGTATGTTAGCCAGCCATGGTGCATTGCCAGGCCCCTGGCATCTGAGCCCTGGGCAGTTTGCCCACTTGTGCCTGGTTCCCTGACAATCAGAACACTTCAGATCTCTGAGGCCTCTCTTTGGAGGTTGGGTTGGGGATGCCACTTGCCCATGGTGGGATGCACCTGCATGCCCACACTTCGGGGTCTGATGCTTAGTTAGGTGGGCTGTGTAGTCAGCCACTCTAGTTCCCAGGCTGTTCAGCATACAGAGAGATAGGGAAGGTAGCCATCATACAGGAACAGGGACCTGTAAACTGAGGATTAGCTCCACAAAGATGCTAAACCTGAGCAATATACCTGGTAGTTTCCACTGGCAAGACGGGCTGGCAGGCTGGCACTGTAAGCCCTCGCAACGTCACCTGTCTGATTGCTGTCTGCTCGCAGGTACAGGAAGTGCCCTGTGAGCAGAAAAATTCATTAGAAAAAAATGGCGTAAGTTCATCCAGTCAACAAGAAATCTTTGTTGACGGATGTTCGCTTCCTGGATACCCACTGCCTGCTGATTACAGAGGAAGCTTGTTTAAAAAAAAATCTGGCATTTTCTTTTTCATGCATTTGTAAAATAATTTCATGACTTTGTGCTGAAACCTCTGTGCCAGAAGGGCATGATAGAGGCGACATTAGGGCTTCAGCATGGATCGCTCACTGAGGTGGTAAAGTCAGATACATTGGTGCCCTGAAAACCTATGGAAAAATGGATTTTAGCAGCATGGGAGCTGAAATCGCAAGACCTTCATTGGGCCATCAGTGAGTGCACCTCAGACAGCACCCCGTCCTACACCTTTCCATACATTGGCCTGTGGGCACAAAAACTGGAATTTACAGTGAGCTCCCCCACAGCTAGTACTCCTACCACATTCTCTCCAGTGATTCTTGCTGGGAGTGACTTGGACTGAACTACCTCTTTCTGGTCCTTTGTCCCCAGAAAGGAAGGTCTAGCTAGGTTCTCAGGAGAAAGAAAAGGACTAAGAGAGAGGAGCAGTGAAGCTGCAATCCTAGGGCCTATCTTATAAAAAGAATTGTGCTAACTCATGGTTCTAAGCCACAGCTAGGGCAGTTTTCAGAGCAGCAGCCGTGTTAGTCTGTATCCGCAAAAAGAACAGGAGTACTTGTGGCACCTTAGAGACTAACAAATGTATTTGAGCATAAGCAATGTTATCACAAGCGCTTTCTATCCATGCAAGCAAGAGAAAAACCATGCTATATCACGAACGCCCCTAATCTTGGCAGAGAACCTTGAACCAGGATGGGTTTTTTTGTAGCTGATCTTTGGTAGTTTTTAGCCCTAGTTCATAGAGGGCTCTAGCCTCCCTGTGTGTTACTTCCAAGTTGACGGATGTTCTTTTGGACCTTTTTTATATAGGTCTTTGAACCAGGACTGAAACCACAATAGGCTCAGTTTAAACACAGTCCTCGCTAACACTGATGAACACAAAGGTGATTTGGTGAGGTGGGCCAAAGAATTTTAAAACCATTTCCCAAAAAACATGTTTGAGACTGGAGAGAGAGAGTGCGCCATGAGGAACATACCTCTGGTGGCTAGCAAGGCAGATCCCATGAATGGAGCTTCTTGTGTTATTTCTTCAAAGCCCCTGATGGACCAGGAGGGAGACGCAGTGTCATTCAATATCCAGCCACAGGAACCCTGCTCAAAAGAACAGTGTGCTCCTTCTGGGAGACTGTCTGCTGGAAAGGATTAGAAAAAATGGGGGTATTTCACACAGATCTGATTAGGGAACAAAAGAGCAAGAAAACTTTAAAGTCAGCTATGGTCACTTTCACTATGTTTCCCTAGGGAGCTACAAAGGTAATACCCTATAGTCTTCTACCAAGAGAGAAGGTGGGTGAGGTAATATATTTTATTGGACCAACTTCTGCTGGTGAAAGAGACAAGCTTTTGAGATTACACAGAGCTCTTCTTCAGGTCAACACTCCATATTAGTCTTCTACCAAGAAATGGAAAAATGGCTTATTAGTTTATTTTCGTGTAAAGTAGTCACCATCAAAAAGTCAATACACATCACTTAGTAGTATGAGAGATACGGCTTTTATTTCTTATTCTAAGTGCAGTGGAAAACAGTGGTTCCCGAGAACCCATCATGTGATAACTGTTTGGTGACTGCTTTATGGGATACCAACAGATAGTCCAGGGGTCCCCATGTCCTATGTAAAGATGGTACAATGGCTGATTATAGTAACTGTGAGTAAATTTAGAACAAATAAAATGACACTTCCTCAGTTGGCGTATAGCCAGCCTATGGAATTCTCTACCGTGGTGCATGAGTAAAACACTGTATGTGCCTTTTTGAAACGATAGTTTTCTGACCAATAACATTTGTGGTGATTCTAAGGATGGTCAGTGCTTCCAGCCGATCGGGATAGGGTCTGGAAGGGATTTCTCCCTCCAGTGAGACTGGTGTAAAAAGAAGAGCTTTTGCCTTCCTCTGAAGTAGCAGGAACTGCGCCAGGAAGGATACCAGACTTAGTAGGCTAGTGGTTTGATCCTGTATATAAAGTCCTATATTCCTCATCCCAGGAGTGCATTCCATATGGATATCCCAGGTCCAGATACCCAGTTAAACTAGGTAGACAAAATATATAAGTAATCTCTATGTGTAATCCATTTAATTAATCTATTTCACTTTCTAAATTATTATTCTTCCTGATGGGCTGAATAGGTAGAAAACAGTTTTTTTAACAATATCAGTCTGGTTTGTAGCTTTTGGTATGCATTTTTGATTAAAATTGTTTCTATATGCACCTGGTGTGTGGGATAGGTATATTTTATTATATGAATATATTTTATTATATTATATATTATATATTTTATTATATGTATAATACATACATACAGTGAGTGGTTAGGTTAATCCCAGGTGTCTACTTCTAGTGGTATCTCAAGGGATATATTTCTTGACAAGTTATATGCTACTAGTAGTTGGTAGATGGTATAGTGACCCACAGAAATTTCTGGAGAAATACATCCTAATTCTGACTATAGATTTGGTGGAACACCCTTTTTTAAGTGCTCACATGACCAGCCTAGCTGAGCTGTCTTGGCTGGTTGGCTTTTGTGGTGGGGTGGTTTGACTGATGCAATTGGGATGACAAACGATACTGCTAGGGGAATTCTGCCTTCCAAAATTAAAAATTCTGTGGACAATAATTTAAAATTCTGCCTATTTTATTTGTCAAAATAACAAAATATAATCACGCTCCTGCTGTCAGCCCCGAGCTCCAGCCGCCCAGGTCTGACAGCAGGAGCCCCAGTTGAATGTAACAGGTGTGGGCAGGAGTGCTGGGGAGAAATCACAAATTCTCTGTGAAAAAATAAAATTCTGTGGGGAAGATAAATTCTGCGTAAATTCTGTATTGCGGCATGGCACAGAATTCCAGCAGGACTAAATGAGGAACAACTGAAGGAACTGATTAAGGGAGCGGGTTTCTTACTCACCACATATAGCCTCTTCATCCTCTTTGGCAGGGCAATCACTGTGAAAATCACAGACCTGTAGGTGGCTGACACAGCCGCCGTGTGGGCAGGGGAAAGTGGAGCCCTTGTCGTATGTGGAAAGATCCTTGCTTTCTTTTTCTAAAGGGTACAAAGAAAGAAGCCCAGAGAGAGGAGTCAGCAGAAGGTCTAGAGCAGGGCTTCGGTTTGGATGGTTCCTCAGTCACACTCAGGCGCCCTCCCCCTTGCTACATTATAAAGACAATCAGTCCATATAATAATAATTATTATTAATAATAATAAATACTAATTTAATTTCAATGTTTGTGCCAGAAAGTCTCTGAGCCTGTAACAAAATGTCGCCGAAAAAGAAATTAACAAAAAAGCAATGTGGTCCAATGAACAATCAGTAGAACTAGCTTGCAAATGAACCGAACCAGCACCACCTTAGTAATAGTAAATAAACATCTTACAGCCCACCCTAAACCAAAAATTAATCTACAGGCAAAGGGGGGCAGCATTTGAAAGGGGCAGACCCTGCACTGAGAAGGCCCTGCTCCCTGTTCTCTCAAGACTGTGTCATGGGACTGTCAGCAGTTCCAGTGAAGCTGTTCCCAGATGTTGCTAAAGATAGTCCCCCTGATAGACTCTATATCATTTAAGGCTTTCAATAAATGTGAGACCTTGAAATGCATTCCCTGGATAATAGATGATCTTTATGGCTAGTAGATTTAGCACTGGTTTCATAAGATTCCCTTAGGGCACTCGGGTTATCAAATTGACCTGATTTATTGTGTTCTTTCCCACCATCTCCCCATACTTCTTTGTACTTGCATGATATTCAAAACCACAGCCATGTCTATAAATTATCCTCTCTGGCTTAAATCACTCAAGGTCCCTGCCACAGTAGGGGTTTTATTTTTTGCACACAACACTTCACACACGTAAAACCCATAAATGCTCCAACAGACAAGAAGATTGTATCCAAAATTTAGATTTTGTTTAAAAAACCTAAAGTAAATAAAACAGAAAAAACTAATAGGATCAGAACATTTTAAAAAGTCAGTGAAAACAGTATTTTGTTGGATATTTGTAAATTTAAAGCTTTTTCTGCAGTTTGCAATCCAGAACCAATAGCATTATGCTAGTGCACGAGAACCATAAAATGAAGCTGAATAAGGTCCTGATCCTGCATGCTGCTTTGAGCAAATGGACCCCTGCACCTGTTAGGAGCATCACTGAAGTCACTGAGGCTCTACACAGGTTCAGGGGTCTGTCTGCATGCAGCAATTAGTAGGATCAGGGCCTATAACTACAAGGTGAAACTGCCCAGGCTAGTTTCATTGCCAAGCTGAATGAACTATATGAAGTAAAAAGCAGCATACATGGTGGAAAACAAACTAGATTCTAATTGTTCTCTTTTTAATAATCTAAAGACAGAGGTTCTTAACTTGGAAGTGCCAAATAGGTTTCACGTAGACAAGACCACCCTCCTTCTCTTTATGACTATATGATGGAGGGGGTCGGGAGGTAGTAAAACCTTTTTCTGTCGGAACATAGGGTCACAGTATGGGAAAGACTGGGAACTACTGATCTCATGTGTGTTAGTGACACAGGTAAGGGTTCTTTAATCTCAACAATGGCCCTTTAAGTAAAGAAAAAAAAATCAAACCTTTATAAACAACACAGACATTTTGTTTTAAATGATTCATGTGCACTTCTAGGGCTATGTCTACACTGCGGACCGCTGTGCTGCTGTAGGGTCTCCCGTGTAGCTGCTCTTTGCTGGCAGGAGAGAACTTTCTTACAAGCATCATTAAACCACCCCTGACGAGCGGCATTAGCTATGTTGGCAAGAGAGCCTCTCCTGCCAACATAGCTCTGTCCACACCAAAACTTTTGTTGGTAAAACTTATGTCCGTCAGGGGTATGAAAATAAAAGTTTTGCAGACAAAAGTGCTAGTGTAGGCAAAGCCCCACTCTCTGTTAGAGGGACAAGCTGGGTGAGGTAATATTTTTTATTGGACCAATTTCTGTTGGCGAGCCAGACAAGCTTTTGATCTACACAGAGCTCTTCCTCAGATCTGGGAAAGGTCCTAAGAGTGTCCCAGCTAATTACAAGTTTGAACAGACAGTTTAGCAAAAATAGTTACCACATATTCTAAGGGACCATTAAAGGTGAAGTGGCGCATTAAAACCCCTGTAGTCTTAGGACAAAAAACAGGGTTAGAGGGTTACAGATTGTTGTAATAAGTCATAAATCCAGTGTCTTTCTAAATACCATGATTTTTAGTGTCTAACAAAATTATGAAGTTATGTTCCCAGGCCTGTCTTCTGAAAGTGTTGTACAGGTTTCATTTGAGGATGGGGACTGATAGGGCAGATATAGAGTGATCGTTTTGTGAAAAGTGTTCATCCTACAAGTGATATGGTGTTTTTGTCTTTTATTATTTCCCTGGGTAAGTTCATTCAAGAGCACAGTGATTGTCTGGTTTTGTCTACATAGCTGTTATTGGGGCATTTAGTGCAATGGATGAGGTACAGCACATGTTGTGATAGGCATGCGTGGGACCCATGGATCTTGAAAGGTGTGTGCAGGTTTTTCCATCTGTAGTTCTGGAAGGGTCTGGTGCCACTTTGAGTTGGTGGGTCCTGGTCTGTGTGGAGCTTGCTTCTGATGGTGAGTTTGCAAAGGTTGGGAGGTTGTTTGAAGGCCAGAAGAGTGTGTTTATGAAAGATTTCTTTCAGGATGGGGTCACCATCGAGTATGGTTGTAATGGTTTCATGATACCCTCCATGGATTTTAGCATGGTGGTAGGTGACAACTAGGGGTTTGCAGTTGGAGGGGGTTATTGTGGCCTTCTAAATCATACTCAGCTATTTTAGTCAGTGTCCTTTTTTCGTTTCTGGCTACATTCATTTAGATTTTCCAGATCTTGCTCGATGTGTTGGAACCTACCATGGAAGCAGTCCCTGAACTGCAAGGAGCCCAATGCCAATAGCCCAGCCCCTTGTGCTCCACAGGTTGAATACAGCAGGGAGATCTCAAAAGGCCTCTCCACTTCGCCGATCTGAGCCATGAGTACTTTCCACTTCACCCTATAACAAGACAAGAAACAGCAATCACACACATGTTGAGCACCTGGGTACCTCACCTGCTTAGGCACCTTTGTAAACCCCACTAGGTGCCTATCTACATCATGAGGCAACTAAATACCTTTAAATATCTGGCCCATGATGCTGGCTCCCTTCCTTGTTTCTAGCTGCTAAATGGCTTTAAAAGACAGCTAAAAATACATAAAATACATTCCTAATATTACATTTCCATGCAAGAAGTTTCTGTGCTAGCCACCGAGATGTTACGTCATTGTCAAAGGTCTATTGGATCACAAAAGGATGGGAGGTGGTCCACACAGTGGTGAATAGGAGGTATGCACAAGACACTCAATTAAGATGTGGTGCATACTATGAAAACATGAGAACCCCTGTTATAAGCACACAAAATTGTGTAGAAATGTCAGCAGCTTTAAGTGTTTATGGCCTTTCCCATTTACGTCAGCCTGTGTTAACTGATTATCTACCTAATTCATTGCCAGTGTTTCACATCAACCACACACCCTTCCTCTGTCAGAGGAAGCTGTTATCCTTCCCCATCTTCTCTCCCCCACCATCCCTTCGGAGGTTCACCCGCCCCTAATCAAAAGCAGCGCAGCCCTCAGCCCTCTCAGAAGATGAAAATGTTTCCCCTTTTCACACTTTTGGCATTTCATGCAGAATTATAGCCTTCCCAAGATTGTAATATCATTTCATTCCATTTCAGAAATCTCCAGCACTGAAACACAACTCTATTACATCTGCCACAGAGCTACGTAACCAAGAGCCTCCAGCAGTGAGATGTGATTGTTTTACTGCTTATTATATTACAGTATAGCCTCCAGGAATCTTCAGCACTAAGCTAGAAATGCATTTCTCTCTGCCATAACACCACACAAAATCCAAGACCATTCAGCCCTGGAACACAGTGCCACCATTTCCACTATATTACCTGATATACTATAGCCACCATGTTCCTCTGGCACAGAGACACAGCTTTGTTACCTCCACTGTAACGCAGCACGTTGCCCGCATTCTCCAACTGAGTCACCACTGCATTATCACACCAGAGCAGCCAGGAACCTCTGATACTAAGTCACAATCACATTAGCACCAGTCTGTTTTGCAGCAGATCATCCAAGAACCTCCAGCACTGAATCATGACTGCATGACCTCCATTATATATTATAGTACTGTATCCAACAAGCTTCAGCACTGAGACTTGACTCCATTAACTCCACTATACAGTATGACAGCACAGCACCTAGAAATTGCAAGTGATATGTAGCTTTGCATCACCCAGAATGCTTAGGTGTACACCTTGTTATCAAGGAACGCTGCCCAGGTATTCCCTAGGGCAGCTGTATTCTGACACACACCCTCAGGTCCAAAATCCAACTGCAGCAAGTTCTCTATATGCATAAATATTGCACTTTCTTTGTTTGGTCCTGGTATCCAAACAGGGCCTACTCAGAGCCAATTTAATTTTCTTAATGGAATCAGGAACAAAGCCTTTAGTATATACAGCAGAAGATGGATCATTGAAGCTGGCTTTCAGATAAGCCCAGCCTGGCAATATCTTTACTATTGATTTTACGTCAGGCTAGAGCTCAGTAAACTGGTTAATATTACTACTCTTCTAAATACAGACATTGAAACTGCTGTGTACACTCTTAGGGGCTCTGAGAGCCTGACATGTCTCTGGGCAATTTGCAAGGAAAGAATAAGAATATGGACCTGCAAACAACTTGATGTTTAATTCAAAACAATTCAGGATGCATTGTGCGGCCCCAGTAATTTCTATTGTTCATCAATATTCTTAGCACTTGCAGCCTCTCTGTCTCCCTCTGTTGAACAAAGCCCCTTCCCCCCAATTCTGACCAGTCCCGTCTACTCAATGCCTTACTATCTCCAACAAAGAGAGCTGCTGTTGAATTTCCAGGAACAATATTTAAGAGTCCAGACAACAACTGCTTTATTAAGAATGATGAGTTCAACTACATGAGCAGGAGAGTTGGCATGTTCTCTAAGCTAGAGGGGATAGATTCAGACACAAATGTGACACTATGCTAAATCAGAGAACACCTGAATTAGAAGCATTAGAATTAGAAGCATTATATCAACTATTTCATTTCTCTGGTAGTTGATTGGTGGCTGGTGTGACGAAGGCTACGTGAATAACGTAGCTGAAGTTGACGTACTTAGATCTACTTACTGCAGTGTCTTCACTGCGGTAGGTCAACTGCTGATGCTCCGTTGACTCTGCCTACGCTTCTCGCTCTGGTGGAGTACCGGAGTCGACGGGAGAGCGCTCGGTGGTTGATTTATCGCGTCTTCACTAGATGCGATAAATCGACCCCTGCTGGATTGATTGCTCCAGAGGCAAGTGTAGACATGCCCTAAGGGAGTTAGCCAGATGGTGAGTATCTGTACTTCTGTCTTGTTGCTATTGATTTACTTTTGGGGGCAAAAAAGAAGAAACTTTTGTGTGCTGGGAACTTGCCACTGAGTTTGGGAGGGCTCCAGGCTACTTTGCTGTGTTTGCTGAAGTTTGGTTGCTGACTGTCTGGGCTAGATCACCCTGCAGTTAGGTGAGTTAGTGCCTGATTCCTAGCAGGGCTCTAGTGGGACTCTTTTAAGGGCCCTAGAAAGGCTCTTTGACGTGACAGCAGAGCAGTTTTTTTGAAAAGGCTAGTGATTAGAGGAGGCTCAGGGAGAGGGGGTAAGTCACTTATTCCAGCTGTGTGTGGAGCCCAGGCTTTAAAAACTATGCAGACTCCTACCCGAGAGACTGAAGGAGTGAGTCAGCTGGGTTTAGCAGCAGGGGAAGGCAGGGAGGTAGGGTTTGGGTCAATTTACAGATACTCTGCAAGGAAGAACCTGCAATGGGAGGAAAACGGCATATCACTAACAGCACTGCTTGTTCTTCCTCTGCCTGCACCTGTGGGGGCCCTGGCCAGACAGGCATCCTGGCCCTGGAGGTTGCTACCCAGGCACTGGTCTTGACTTGCTGGGCATGTTTCCTGCATGTCCCTGATGAAGAAAGCCAGGCAGGGGAAGCCAGCTGGTGTGAGAGGTGCCTGTTGGTGGAATCCCTCAGGAAGTAGGTAAGAAAGCTGCAGGAGGAGATGGCTCGTTGGTGTAGCATCCAGGAGCAGGACGACGTCATCAATAGGATGCATATGGAGACATCCAGGATGGAGGATGCTAACCAGCTACAGGTGGCTACAGCGGCCCCCAATGAGGAAGGAGACCCAGCTGCTCTAAGGGAAGGAGACTGGTTGCTGGCCACCTCGAGCTGTAGGCAGCACTTCACTCCCCGATCCAGTTCTCCATTGCAACATGGTCAAGAACTGGGACTGGAAAAAGGAGGTGAGGCGCAGACCCCAATGGCTGAAGAAGAGGAGCCACCTGCCCCCAAATCCAGAAGGCTCACGGCCACCATAAGCAAGAGGAAGAAACACAGAGTGGAGTTATTAAGGACTCCCTTCTGAATGGGACAGAGGCATCCATCTGCTGACCTGTCCTTACAGGTGTGCTGTCTGCATGGAGCCTGCATCCAAGACATTACAGAAAGATTTCTGGAGCTCATCTGTTCTTCTTACCACTATCCCATGCTGCTCATTCACATGGGCACTAGTGATACTGTCAAGTATAAACCTGAGCAGATCAACAGTGACTACAAGGCTCTGGGAGCAAGGGTGAAGGAGTCAGGGGTGCAGGTGGTGTTTTTGTCAATCCTTCCAGTTGAGAGTAAGGGCCCAGGCAGGGATGATGACATCCTGGGTGTCAATGGGAGGGCTTTGGCTTCCTCAACCATGAGATGCTGTTCCAGGAAGGAAGACTGCTGGGAAGAAATGGGGTCCACCTGACTACAAAGGGGAAGAGCATTTTTGCACAGTGACTCGCCAATCTAGTAAAGAGGATTTTAAATTAGGTTCAAAGGAGGCAGGTGGCAAAAGCCCACAGGTAAGTATTAAAAAAGGTGGAATTAACAGAGAACTAAGTGTTGGGGGGTAAATGGAAAATTACAATTGGGTTGTAGGAGCAACAAGAGGGATAAGTGATGGAATCTGCTCATCATCTTAGATATCTATACATAAATGCAAGGCGCATCGGGAATAAACAGGAAGTAATGGAATTATTAGTACATGAGCTAAATTATGACTTAGTTGGCATCACAGAGACTTGGGATAAATCTCATGACTGGAATATAAATCTCATGAGGGGGGATAGCTTGTTCAGGAAGGACAGGCAGGGAAAAAAGGGAGGACATATTGCATTATGTATCAATATATACACTTGTTCTGAGGCGCAGAAGGAGGTCAGAGGCAGAAGAGTTGACAGTCTCTGGGCGAAGAAAAAGGGTAAAAACCAGGGACAGTATCATGGTAGGGGGTCTACTGTAAACCACCAAATTAGGAAGAGGCGATGGATGAGGAGATGAAACAATATTAAAGGCACAACAGCAAACTATCCCAATGTGAAGGAAAGATAGGAAGAATTGTAAAAGGCCGATATGGTTCCATCAGGAGCTCTTTTAATGACCTGAAAATCAAAAAGGAATCCTACAAAAAATGGAAATGGACAAATTGCTAAGGATGATTACAAAAGAATAGCACAAGCATTTAGGGACAAAATCAGAAAGGCCAAGGCACAAAGTGAGTTACAAGGGACATAAAAGACAGTAAGGAGCGGTTCTATACATATATTAGGAGCAAGAGAAAGACTAAGGGAAAGGCCAGAGTGAAGGAGTTGGGGGTGCAGGTGTTGTTTTCATCCTCTACTTAGCAAGGAAGGGAAGTTAATCATGGACAATAATGGACAACATCAAGAAGGCTGAAGTGTTAAATGTCTAATTTTGCTTCAGTCTTCACTAAAAAGGTAAATTGTGACCAGATACTTACCACAATTAATATTAACAACAAAGGGGAAAGAACACAAGCCAAAATAGGGAAAGAACAGGATAAAGAACATTTAGGAAAGTTGGATATATTCAAGTCAGC